GTCCCGCAACAGACATACAGAAAGTCATACAATAGGTATACAGAAAGTCATACAACAGACATACAGAAAGTCAAACAACAGACATACAGAAAGTCCAACGGCAGACATACAGAAAGTCCCAAAACAGACAAACAGAAGGCCCACAACAGACATAGAGTAAGTCCCACAACAGACATACAGACAGTCCCACAACAGACATACAGAAAGTCACACAACAGACATACAGAAAGTCCCACAACGGACATACAAGAAAGTCCCACAACAGACATACAAAAAGTCACACAACAGACATACAGAAGGTCCCACAACAGACATACAGAAAGTCCCACAACAGACATACAGAAAGTCACACAACAGACATACAGAAAGTCCCACAACAGACATACAAAAAGTCCCACAACAGACATACAGAAAGTCCCACAACAGACTTACAGAAAGTCCCACAACAGACATACAGAAAGTCCCACAACGGACATACAAGAAAGTCCCACAACAGACATAAGAAAGTCACACAACAGACATACAGAAGGCCCACACCAGACATACAGAAAATCACACAACAGACATACAGAAAGTCACACAACAGACATACAAATAGTCCCACAACAGAAATACAGAAAGTCCCAAAACAGACAAACAGAAAGTCATACAATAGGTATACAGAAAGTCATACAATAGGTATACAGAAAGTCATACAACAGACACACAGAAAGTCATACAACAGACATACAGAAAGTCCCACAACAGACATACAGAAAGTCCCACAACAGACATACAGAAAGTCCACCAACAGACATACAGAAAGTCCCACAACAGACATACAGAAAGTCACACAACAGACATACAGAAATTCACACAACAGACATACAGAAGGCCCACAACAGACATACAGAAAGTCCCACAACAGACATACAGAAAGTCCCACAACAGACAGAAATACAGAAACTCCCACAACAGACATACAGAAAGTCATACAATAGGTATACAGACACAGTCGAAACAGGGCATGTACTCAAGAAAAACCCGACTGCAGTATAAAAAGTATAGAAGGAGAGGGGCTAAGGGGAATGGTATCATAATCCCTTTTAGAAACTTCTTGGGTCTAAGATATACTTTTGAGTGTATATATAGCACAATGGTACATCCACCTTCTCTTCTTCTTTGTCTCCTCATCTCCAGAGAGAGGTTTGGACAAATTCATGCAAGAAACGTACATGCTCGCGACAGACGCATAGACAGACAGACACGCAATAAGCGCGGATACACGCAACATATGTACAGACAGAAACGTAACAGGCGTACAGACTCGAAGCAGACGTACAGACAGACTCGCAACATGTATACAGACTCCCAACAGACGTACAGACAGACACAAAAAGAACCATGCAACAGGCGCATAGAGACGTACAGAATTGCAGGAGACGTACAGACTCGCACGGGCGTACAGACTCGCAAAAGACGTACAAACTCGCAACAGACGTACAGACAGACAAAAAAAGAAACACATGCAACAGGCACACAGACTCGCATCACACGTACGTACACGTTACAGTCACATAACAGAAGTATAGTCATATGACGGACATGTATATAGACAGGTATTAGATATCGTAAATGTAATGCAGATATTCCATAATTAGAATTATATGTTTAATCACTATTAGTTTATGAGACATTTCCCACTAATAGGGTATATACATGTTAAATTGGCTTGCCATATCACACTGTCCTCTTACAAGTTAACCGAAAACCATGTGCATCAGTTTACACTGTAAACCCCAAACGCAATTTTGGTCAATCCTTATAATTTAATTTAAACTTTGAATACGGACAAACAGTCTTAATATGCAAAGTTAAGGCTTTTATTAATTCTATTTACGAACCATTTATATGTATACAAATGCCGTGAGTCCTGGTATATTAAGTCATCAATTTTTAATTCTTTTCATTTAGTTTTTGAATTAGTGTATAATTGCAGAACGTACACGTACGTAGGGTCCGTAGAATGCGTTAGAACACAGTTTACCTGCGTGAGGTGTAATGTAGAACCCCCAAGACGCAACCACCCCCATGCCGGCTCTCAGCGTCATGTTCTTCTTTAGAGTATATCGTTATCTGTTGGCAGAGAAACGGGCGTTGAAGAGTACAAATAGTGTACACGTTCTTTTCAAGTCTTATCTTGTCTCTCTATCTTACTTCCCAAAGACAGAACTTCCAAAATGTCAACTCGTCTTTTCAGAAAGTTTTTCATGTTAGGTTAGTTGTCTTCTTGTCAATTAACATTACATTTCATAACTTATTTTCAAACAAAACGTATCGCTAGCCATTTGCTATAGCCATTCATATACAAAAAAACACCTCTCGTTCGTTCGATGTTGGTATTGCTTTTTTAGATTTGTTTCCCTGCTAGTGTATTTTTTATTGTCTGTGTTCCATTTCTGGATACAGTATTTCGACCCTGGTATGTGTACTTTACAAAATTAAAGTACATCATCTGAAAAACTAACCATTCACTATTCAACACTTCATGATATACTGTGTCGATCTGTCTATGATATGATGTTTATGGATAATGCTGGTGCCTGTTTCTATCACATGCCGCAGATATACTGTATAAATATGGGATATGAAAAAAATACAAGAGTGCAAGCTGTGAATCGGAAATTTGATAGCAGTCATATTTGGATGCTATTATTGCCGATTCTTTTTTTTAGCATCATAAGATTTATTTTTCTTGTATTTCATAACTTTGTAAGTAAACGTTTGCTGGATAGCACAATGATTTGAGCAATCGTGAACGTCGGCACTTTCCGTAAACGAAAAAACGGAGAGTGACGACGATTCCCGAGTGCGATTTCAACAGACGCAACGGCATAAACGTTATAAAGAAATACCGATTGAACGGTATTTTTAAAATTGTTATGCCTGCATGAACTGCCATGACGTATACAGAGTCCACGTTACTTCCTTCACTCCAATATGACGTCATAGATATAAGTCAATCCCGCCTTGCTAGCCAAGAGCAAATGTATATAGCTGTGTATTATGTGCTGAACGAAAATAATAATTATAGTCACGTGCTATAATTATAAAATTATATTAAAAATGCTATTAAATTGACGGGAGACGTCATTCTCTAATTAATGTTAGTCGCCCCTAATGTGCTAATTGTAGCGTTTCCATGTAGAACATTATAGTGTTTAATTAGATAAAAAAAAAATGGTAATGTAGCAGTGCACGATTTTCGCTTCTGGCAAACTTCTTTAATTATCGGTGCCTGTGCCAGGTGTAAATTGAATATGAATTAAGGTGTATGTATACATGTATGTGCAAGAGAATGGAGTATCATATAGAGTAGATGAAGAGTACATTTTTTTACCGTAAAAGCTGGCATTACACAAAACATATGTTACTTAGTAGCAAGTAGTGTACATGTACATAGATGGATCGGAAGATGGCGCGGGGGTTGGGGTAGGGGTGCGGTCTTTTTCTTTACTTAAAAACCAAACTTCACTGCACAGTGGCGGGTTGAATCTAACATAATCTGATGCCATTTCCGTTTTTTGAAATTTTCAAATCCTTTCACATCCATTCAGATACAAATAAAATAAAAAAAAGGGAATTCTTTTTTTTTTAAGGCTGTTCTATATTGTATTGGTATTGAAAAATTGAAAATAATCTGCTAATTCCGTTATACCACTAATCGGCAATCGCTAATTCCGTTGTACCACTAATAGACCATCCCTAATCTGGTTGTCCCACTAATTGACCATCGCTAATTCTGTTGTCCCACTAATCGGCAATTGCTTATATGGTTGTCCCACTAATCGCCCATCTCTAACTCTGTTGTCCAACTAATAGGCCATCACTAATCTGGTTGTTCCACTAATAGGACATCATTAATCCGGTTGTCCCACAAATAAGACATTGCTAATCTGGGTTGTCCCGATAATCGGCCATCGCTAATTCCGTTGTCCCACTAATCGGTCATTGCTAACCCGGTTGTCCCACTATTAGGACATCATTAATTCAGTTGTCCCATGAATAGGACATTGTTAATCTGGTTGTCCCACGAATAGGACATTGTTAATCTGGTTGTCCCAATAATCGGCCATCGCTAATTCTTTTGTCCCACTACTTGGCCATCGCTAATCCGGTTGTCCCACGAATAGGACATCACTAATCCGGTTGTCCAACTAATAGGACATCACTTATCCGGTTGTCCAACTAATAGGACATCACTTATCCGGTTGTCCAACTAATAGGACATCACTTATCCGGTTGGCCCACTAATCTGCCATCGCGAATCCTGTTGTCCGCCTAATGGGACACCAGTTTACTTGTCATGTGCTATATTTCATTTTCTTTATTGGCATAGTTGTACTTACAACTTACAAGCAAGTTGATGGCAAAATAACACATAACAAGGCCTGAGTGAAATATCATAACTGCTACACAACTCGAGAATGTTGCATCGCGCTAAACATCCATACACACTGAACTGTCTTATCACGCCCCTATTCCTCAGTGCAGGTAATTGTCAAATAAAGGCCAGTATTTCATAATACTAGCAAGGAGTTTTTGAGTTTAGAATGTTGGCCAGGTGAGGTGTTTGTTTTGTAATGATGAAGACATGTTTAACTTGCAATAAACACAAAACAAAATCATGGAAGGGGCTATGTTATATAATATTAAAAGATGTGGTAGCCTGCTCCCCATTCCAGCCTCTATTAAAGCTCATTTATCAAAATATCTGATAGTGACTCTAGGTCTCATAGTTCTATAGAACAACATTTTGTCATGTGTAACGGCCTGGTGATCATGACAGTGGGTCAAGGTAATTCATTTTAACAAACTTGATTGCTGAATCAAGGTAAACAAGCACCATCTTCAGATTATAAAGGAGTTATTTACGAATTTTTGCTACAAAACATTTTTACTCAGTTTTTACTTAACGTAAATGTATGCCATGTGAATTCAAACAAAATCAAATTAAAACATTTTCAATTAATCTCATTTTAATATTGAAGAACAACTACAGTTCAACATGTATTTCACTTCTTTCATTCTTCACAAATCCTTTCTTTATAATAAATGTTGCATTCTTTTTTACAAAGCAATCTTCCTTCCTTTCTTAAGGTACAAACTAGTTTCTCATTGCATTTTCTCAACCACACAAAGACACACAGAAATTGTTTTTATTTCATTTTGTTGGTAACGCCTTCATACCTAAGAGAAGAGGCTTCGCAGAAACTTGCCATCATAATTAAAAGTAAAGCATGTCATGAAAACAGGGAATCAAAATTATCATAGGTAATATTCAAAACTCGACTTGCAGATGTAGTTTTGAATCACGGATCACATCATTTTCAGTAATTTTACACGCATGATCTTCTCCAAATCAGACAGAAATGTAGTTAATATCCATTAGTCTTACTTGATGGAAGTTGGTTGTTTTTCTAGAAAGTTCCCTTGTGTGACACTACTTCCAGGCTTGGTGCAGTGACTATAGGTCCATATGGCACTACAAGGATTGTGACTACAAGTTCCTGTGTCTATATTGTCACTAGGTGACTACAAGTTCCTGTGTCTATATTGTCACTAGGCGACTACAGGTTCCTGTGTCTATATTGTCACTGTGACTACAGGTTCCTGTGTCACTTAGTGACGAGTTCCTGTATTAAAATGTGACTATATATATCTTTTAGGTCACTATGTGACTACAGGTTCCTGTGTTACCGTGTGACTATATACAGTTTCTGGGTCACTATGTAACTACAGGTTCTTGTGGTATGTATGGTCTCTTACACACGTAGATCCGGTGGTTGGCCACTGTCACTACGTACATGAAACTGTCCCAAATCACTGAAAATTTCAAAGTTTTTTTTTTCAATATTAAACAAAATAACAGTCAAAGGGAAGTAACTCTTGCGAGAAAATGTAAAAACTCAAAACAGTGTACGTTTACAAAACCATATTTGATTAACCCTCTGTGATCAGCAAAGAGAATCAGAAACAAGAAACTAAATATTTTGCACTCGACCATGAAATCATAAATTTTATAGCAAACATTATTAACACAGGTTAAAAAAAATTCAGATATTTTCTAACAAGCCATTTGGATTGATATGTCTCGCCTATGCCCTGCTTTGACCATCAATTCACATATCACAGAAACTAACTTAAAGGCAAAAACGTCATGTTGATGGATTTACTGACAAAGTCAATGGACAATGAAAGGTAGGCCGCATCCAGCATTTGATGCTTTGGTTGAGATGTACTACCTAAGATGCATCTATGGTCTGAGTTTGGTTGGTCTAGCATTTATTCTTTCAGTGAAACTAACTTAAATGCTTAATGTCGACGACGCCGTCGCAGGTAAAGCAACACCTTAATTTCGCTTCCACTTCGAAGTGGCGAGACAAAAACAAGTTTACCTGAAATTCGTTTGAAGACCTCCCTTTTATCCGATGACACTTGTAGTTTTGCTGCTGTGTATACAAGTTTGGTCATCTTCTCTGCGATAGACTCAGCATTCTGTAATTCTCCTCCAGACTGAAAAAATAAACAAATCTGATATATTATAAGGCTCTTCTTCTGTTTTACTCAATACAAGACAATATTAGGTATAAGTTGGTTTAAAAAACACATTAATTCATCCAACTAAAAAGTTCAATGAAATAATAACTGATTTAGTTGTAATAATTTTTATTTGGAAACATCAATAATTTTTTCTTCTAAACATAGTAATTAAGATATTTGTCTTTAATTATAATTATCACAACCCGAATACAATTATCATTCTACAATGTGTTTTTTTTTTGTAAATGTATTGGATTTTGATAATCTATTGCATTTGGTTGGTCTTGTGTTTCGTTGTTGCTTGTTTTAATCTATGATTAATGAAACTTTTTTTTTTTTTAATATTTAATTTTTAATCTTTCAAGATTTTCAGAACATGTACATTATACAGAACATCACATCAACACACATCCACACATATCAACTATTGAAATTATCATCATCCTCATCCTTATCATCATCCTCATATAACGGATAATAATTTGTGAACCGCTTTGAGACGACCTACGAACTAGGTTGTGATAAAGCGGTATATAAGAACCTCCAATTATTATTATTATTATTAATGAAACTTCTTTGTTGCTGTAAATTTTACAGCTTGCATACTCTTATTTTCAAAATGTATTATTGTTTTAACCATCTTAAATGGTAGAAGTTTTTAGCATAGTCATGCTTTATTTTCTTTAGATACCTTAGGTAAACATTGAAAAGAAAATCAAAACAAGCATTTTTTGCTATTTTGTTTTTTTTATAACAATAAAAGAAATCTCTTATTGTAGATAAAGTCTGGTGAAGCTAACAATGCCTGTTACAACTGGGCCATGTCTACCGATATTGTACCAATATTGTACTAATTATCACAACAGTAAATATGATCATGCTTCTGTACCATTGTTGGTTGTTTGCTTCTGTCACTTGGGACTCTTGCTTATTTTTCTATAAAGAGGATCTGAATAAGGCAAAAATGACCTGAGAAGCAAGAGAAGGAAACATTTAGTTATATTTCCCTGTCATTTGATCAATATAATCCAATTTAGGATTAATGAAGGTCATTTTCCATTGGGAAAAAAATAATGCTTTTTGCAGCCTAGGCTACTGTAACTGCTAAGGAATATGAGAGGGAAATACTACCTTACTGGCAAGCTAGGGTAGCAGTATACGGTAGAGGGTTGTGGCCATGGGTGATATTTTTGTTAAATGGCTAACCCATGTATAATCATTTGTAAAAATAAAATAAAAATAAAACTGTACTAAAATTGGTATAAGCATGATGGGCTATGTGAGCTTCACATTTGTAAAAAAAAAAAGTTTTTGGTTTACATTTCCTCGACATGTGCCTTAATTTTCAGAGTCGGCCCATTTCTACTGTAGACTGCTACCTAGCATTTCCAGCAATGCGGTATAACCAGGGCACCTGCTCACTAGTTCAGCAACATCGAGCGTTGTCAGAAGCTTAATGGTTGACCCCCGCTCGTTACACTTCTAGTGTAGTGAACAGAGAGAAAACCCAGGACCTTCATACTTACACTGAGCACTGCACCATCATCAGTAAGTACAAGGTACCCCAGGGAGTCCTGGATCTTGTCTATACCCAGGGCATTTGTCATGGTGAAGATGTCTGATGTGAATCTATCTGTTTAATCTGGAAAATAAATCAAATAGTATATTTGATACAGTTACAAAATGGAAAGAATATTATATGTTTAGAAAAGTTAACCTATAGTAATCAACACATTTATAGATTTTTATACACATTATTTCTTTGACAAGCATTCTTTTGGGAGCTTTTAGATTTGAAAAATGTTTTTCAACTGGGAATATTTTGCCCAAAATCCTATTGAAAAAAAAAAGCCTCGTAAGTAGGACACTGCAACACTCTCTGATGTGAGGTATAGTCCGAAGTGATTTTGCCAAAAGTGATCATACAGTTTCAACAGTATTTTGACAATGATACAACCTTTCTTTGAAAACACTGGAATATTTAAATCATTTTCCTGTGAGATGCTTTAGAATTTTTGAAATTATGTAATGCTGTCTATTGTGTCTATACTGACTCATATGGGCCACACAGAGACCTATTTTGCAGTTCCACTATTTCATATATAAAATATTGCAGCGGTCCAGCGGAACTGCATGGACTCTGGGTTGATCGTCAGCGACCAGATAGCTCAATCGGTAGAGCGTCCAACTAGAGTTTGGAGGGTCCCGGGTTCGAACACTATTCTGGTCTGGCCGAGCATTTTTACTCTCTTGTTACAGTAGTGACTGTGACCAACCCTTAATTGTTTCAAGAATTTGGTGTATATGCTTGACAAGGGGATACCTGAACCTGGGTTATAAATAGTTGTGTCTTCGGAGGTGAAGAACTTAGAAGGGAGGAATGTAGCGGAACTTGACTGGGTCGATGGTTGGCGACCATATAGCTCAATTGGTCGAGCGTCCATCTAACAGTTCAGAGGGTCCCGGGTTCGAACCCCGGTCTGGCCATGGCTGCATGTGCAGTTTTCCTTTCCTATTGTTACAATATGACTACAAATACAGTCATTATAATCTGGCTCAAAGGTATCAAATAAGATAATCATAAGAGGAGACAGGTCTAAGGGGGGAAAAAGATCCTAGACTTATAGTCGGAAGAGTTTCCAATAATGTTAATAGCCTGGTTAAGTTCTTTCTTTGCCGGTTTCTCATCCACTATCAACAACTGAAAACATCCTGGATGTGTTGTATACAATGTATACTATATGTACTTGTCCGAAATGTAACATTAAAACAACTTGAGGTGACAGTTGTGTTGCTTTCTGCAAGATGAAATTATATATATGCCTACCTAAACATTTAAAATTGTCACCACACAGTATACATTGATCATGAGACTGGGTGAAATGTTTATCGGATGTTGATCTAATCCCATTTTCCCCGAGAAAAAAAATGCTTAGCAATACACCATGCACACACCAGATAAGGTCTCAAAGTACAATGTGTGTCGTAATTCACAGGTCCCTGTGCTTTCTTTCCCCCATCCCAAACTTGCTGATGGTGAATTCCAATATTTTAACTAGGCCTAGTGACAACCTTGAATACCTCCTAAGTTACACGACAATTTTCATTTCAGTTAAATAAAGATGTCAAAACCCCATCCAAATTTGCTTATTTTATCCTGTAACGATTTCATACGCCTACGTAAGGTCTGTTGACGTCTTCAGCATCTCACCTGTCAGTCGCCATTCGGGTCACATGATTTTTTCTCGGGAAGTCTCGATCAACTCTCGGAGGGGTTGTGTTTTTCACTATACATTTGATTAATCTCAAAGAGATTTTATTAATATTAAAGACACAAGTTAATTCCATATTCAATATTGTATCATCGAAATCAAAGGTGTATGTTAAAACGAAGTGGATAAGTAACACACTTATAATAATCAACGAATCATGTGACATGCAGTGAGATCTTTAAAATGGCGACTGTTTAGGGGGTAGTACTTCCTGTTGGGCTTCGAAGCTCTTAAAATCGATTTTTATTCATGCTGATGTATTTTACAAACATTTGACCATGATATATCCATCTTAGAGTCAGCGATGTCGCAAATAAGCACCAAGAAACCCAGATGCTTGTTTGAACTGCAGACATATCAGGTGAGACATACATTCGTTATTTGTGCTGTTGGCTTATTTATTTATTTCACACGTTTGGCATGTTTTTTCTCCAGATTTTTCGAATGCCATATATTGGTTCGGCATCCCTTAACCACATTAGATAACTGCTTTTAATGTTTAAGGTTTAAGAATAGAATCAAGATCGACGCATTCAGTCATTACTTAATGTTTACATTCATAATATATATAATAAACACTAAAATGAACCTAACATCATGCAGATTTATCAGATTGTTGGATAAGTGCAGACCGATCAATATCGAATGAAATATGCATGAATTCCTGAATTCTGCAGAAAATAATGTTTTCGACAAGAAAACAAAAGGTGATTCGGTACTATCACCGGTGACAGCAGTTCGAATTATTCTGACGTTTTATTGACTTTTTTTATATCGGTCTGTCGTCGATTAACAGACCGATATAAAAAAAAGTCGGTAAAACGTCAGAATAATTCGGACTACGGTGACAGCTAGTGACATGCATACAAAACAATAAAAGAACAATGCTTTCAAACATTTTGATATGTATACCCCAAATAAGTAGAAATAATTACATATATGTATGATACACCTATTTTGTTAAATGAAGCGACAGAGATAACACTGCCTAATCGAATGTGAAGTTTACATTGTCTGCTAGTATTTCGTACTTATCCCAAATATCTGCGACAATACACCAGAGCTTGCCGTGGTATGCAACGATATATTAACAATTAAGACAATTAGATTGATACGTATCACAATACTGTGGTCACCATACAGTATGTTATAATCACGATACATTGTAGTGACAGCTTGTAGAAGGAAAGAGAAAAGATATTGTTGCTTTTTTTTTAATGGCAATATAACAACTGAAAATAGACTTGATCTAAAATTAGCATGACTGTAAAGTTTCACACAATTCACATCTTTCCGCATGCATGCCGAACTGGAGCAGCTAGTACGTCACTCCCCAATTAGTTGGAACGGATATGAGAGGGGCCCGGACTTAATTCAGAAACAATTTTACCTGAATGAAATTGATTTTGGACATGACTGATTTAACGCAAAGACGAATGTGTAAAAGTCCAGTCTAGTTATGAAGAGTGTTCTTGTCCAGGAATCTAAATTATTAGGCATCCTCATGCATACATGTATATGTGACAGAAGAAGAAAAATGCACAGCCATATACTGGGAGTCGAACCCGGAAACTACCAAATTCTTCTGTAGATGCGATGCTTTAACCAGTTGACCTACCTGGGCCTGCATGGTCACCAGTGATCATCCGAGTCCAGTTTCGACTATACATTCCTCCCCCCCATCAACAATGTCTTTGCCCCCAAAGACACACAAAACCCGGCCTATATATATTTTGTTGGGCGCCAAATGTAACGAGAGGAAAAATGCACTGCCAGACCGGGATTTTATCCTGGGAGTTGGGGAGACCAGACCAGGATTCGAACCCAGGACCTTCCAAAACAACTCTACACAGACCCTCTAACCAATTTAGCTACCTGTTTGCCAGCGATTGACCCAGCTAGTCCAGTGTCCACTACATTAATATATATTTTAAAATTCTGTTAATAAAATAAAAATAAGGCTTCGTTAAGCAGGAGACAGCTAATACTGCTGTGGAAAGTATATTGACTTTGGATTCAGAAGAGCTGGAACAGTGCAACTCAGTTTGCATGTTACTAAGAATTTTGATAGATACATGTAGTTGTCCAGATTTGAATCAATATCTTTTGTGTGGTTATATTATTATTTTCCTATGCCTTCAGTTCCATGGTTAATCAAAAATATTAATTAATGTGTGTAAAAAATAGGGTTGTCAAAATGGTCAAATTTTGGTAACCGCAGTTACTCGAAAAATTCCGACCCAGTAACCGGTTAATCAGTTAATTTGGTTATCAAACAATAAAACCCAGCAAACACCTTATATGTTTAGTTAATGTTCTATTTAAAACGTATATTTATTGGCATGATAGTTTATTGTGTAAATCAAGCTACCAGGTAAACACATGTACAGGAAATAGTTTCATGTACAGATGTATTCTCAGTAAGTTTATTTCATGGACAACAAATGTATGAATACAGTAAGGTGGGATTCAATTACTATTATCTGTACTCGAGATCACATGTGGAAGTATTGTCCTTTAGAACAAAATTTTATCAACAAACGTTTAAAGACATGCTTCCTCATTCAAGTGTGAACTCTTCAGATTATATTTACATCTTGCATATAAAAGCGAATTCTATACCGCTAAAAGTTGATATTTCATAACTTTGTATTCTAGCTTCCTTTTAAAATGTGTTCATGTTTTTTATGGTGTTGGCGGCATCTCTTTGTCAATATTTACAATAGACAACAAAAACAACACAAATATGTAAGCATGAACACTGTTTTTTTTAATAACAAAACTATCCGGTTTTGGTAGATTCTATAGATAATTTAAAGGTCTAAGCCAGGAAAATATGGGGCTCCCAAAAAGGGTAGGTAAATTTCCAACAATTTGGTTATTGATTTTGGTAACAGGTTTGTTGTCTTCCGACCAAGTAACCGTTGACAACCCTAGTACAATATGTAAAATATGAATTCAGATATTGTCACGCACCATTGCTTACTGGTCTTTTTATGCATTTCCGTAGCGACGGCTGAGACACCTGAGGAGCCTTGCCATCCGAAACCTGGTGTGTTCAAGCTACAATGGTAAAGATGTCCACAAACTCCAGTCCTACTTCACACTACATCGTGAGACGACATCCGAAGGTAAACTAATCAAGTTACGAAACAAAATCATTAAACTCATCAACATGCAGCTACTTATTGGTGTGTGAATTGATGTACAATTCTACTAGCCTGCATGTTGCTCAGGGCTAGTATATTTTATGTTCATGCATATGCTGGCCAGATTTTATGTTCATGTTGGGGGCTAGTATATTTTATGTTCATGTTGGGGGCTAGTATATTTTATGTTCATGCTGGGAGCTAGTAGATTTCATGTTCATGCTGGGGGCTAGTAGATTTTATGTTCATGCTGGGGGCTAGTAGATTTTTTATGTTCATGCTGGACGCTAGTAGATTTGATGTTCATGCTGGGGGCTAGTAGATTTTATGTTCATGCTGGGGGCTAGTAGATTTTTTGTTCATGTTGGGGGCTAGTAGATTTTATGTTCATGCTGTGGGCTAGTATATTTTATGTTCATGCTGGGGGCTAGTAGATTTTATGTTCATGCATATGCTGGCCAGATTTTATGTTCATGTTGGGGGCTAGTAGATTGTATGTTTATGCTGGGGGCTAGTATATTTTATGTTCATGCTGGGGGCTAGTAGATTTGATGTTCATGCTGGGGGCTAGTAGATTTTATGTTCATGCTGGGGGCTAGTAGATTTTATGTTCATGCTGGGGGCTAGTAGATTTTATGTTCATGCTGGGGGCTAGTAGATTTTATGTTCATGCTGGGGGCTAGTAGATTTTATGTTCATGCTGGGGGCTAGTAGATTTTATGTTCATGCTGGGGGCTAGTAGATTTTATGTTCATGCTGGGGGCTAGTAGATTTTATGTTCATGCTGGGGGCTAGTAGATTTTATGTTCATGCTGGGGGCTAGTAGATTTTATGTTCATGCTGGGGGCTAGTAGATTTTATGTTCATGCTGGGGGCTAGTAGATTTTATGTTCATGCTGGGGGCTAGTAGATTTTATGTTCATGCTGGGGGCTAGTAGATTTTATGTTCATGCTGGGGGCTAGTAGATTTTATGTTCATGCTGGGGGCTAGTAGATTTTATGTTCATGCTGGGGGCTAGTAGATTTTATGTTCATGCTGGGGGCTAGTAGATTTTATGTTCATGCTGGGGGCTAGTAGATTTTATGTTCATGCTGGGGGCTAGTAGATTTTATGTTCATGTTGGGGGCTAGTAGATTTTATGTTCATGCTGGGGGCTAGTAGATTTTATGTTCATGTTGGGGGCTAGTAGATTTTATGTTCATGCTGGGGGCTAGTATATTTTATGTTCATGTTGGGGGCTAGTAGATTTTATGTTCATGCTGGGGGCTAGTATATTTTATGTTCATGCTGGGAGCTAGCAGATTTTATGTTCATGCTGGGAGCTAGTAGATTTTATATTCATGCATATGCTGGCCAGATTTTATGTTCATGCTGGGGGCTAGTATATTTTATATTCATGCTGGGAGCTAGTAGATTTTATATTCATGCTGGGGGCTAGTAGATTTTGTATTCATGCTGGGGGCTAGTAGATTTTATATTCATGCTCGGGGCTAGTAGATTTTATGTTCATGCTTATTCAGGCTGGGGGCTAGATTTTATGACGGGGCTTGTGAGAATTTTCAAAATTTACAGTGAAAATATAGGTCATGCTAGTAGAAATTTTCAATGTCAACTAAAAAAAGACCAATTTATCCTTTGAATGACTACAATTCACCTCACAAAGGCTCATCAGGAAAATAATAATACCTAGTGTAATTGTCTCTACCAGACTACAATGTAAATGGGTGTAAAATCTTTAATTTGTTATATATTCATAATACATTTTTACTAAATAATCTGTTTCAGCATTTTATACAAGTGAGCGGATAACAGGATCACTGGTAAGTATCTTGTTAAATTATGAATGTAAAATTGTATGGCCGTATCAAAGTTTTACTTTATACACAAATAATTTAATCTTGCTTGTAACAAGCATTTTCATTGGCTTACAAATTTATGTTATCAGCACTCAGCCAATCAAAAGCGACGTCGCCGTTTGTAACGTCGCTTTTGATTGGCAATAATTTCTAAGAGAAAAGAATCCATCAATAAAAGTGGATTTCCACAGGGATTGTGTAAAGTAGATTAAGTTATAAGGATTAACTTGAATATATTTTTCATGTTATGGAGATATAACACAAAAAACGGAGTGTACTCTAAATAAACCACGAAGCGGTTTATGGTCAATGTAATCATAGCTTGACTTTAGGGACCAGTCGGTCTTGAAAGGTTGCAACACGTTTAATACGTACATTGTTTGTGTATAAAGTAAAACTTTTATATTACATATTTCCAAACTGATGAATCTTGTTGAAGATATTAAAATTCCATAGCATTTCAAAAAAATGAACCTGAAGTACATGTCTGTTTAAGAATTATTAGGCCGAAAAGCATGTTTTATTTACGAGGCCAAACACATTTTACCATACATGTCACATGATGTCAAAAGGTCAGGTATAATCTGGTACATACAGCTACCAATAAATCAAGTGTTTGTAATAATTTTTACCTTGAAGCATGTATTATAATTGTCTGTGTTAAAAGAAACTACTGACCTTGTCTCTAATTTACGTCAGGATAAATGTGTGTAGCTTATGCAGATAAGAGATTACCGTATTTTAATTTGAAACACAAAATTGTCCCATCAAATTTTACACCAAAATTATAAATGATGGCTGAAAAGCGAATGTTATGATAAAATAAATTGCAAAGAAATATGAGTAGATTACATTTTTTTGAATCAATGAAATTATGTCAAAGAATTTAAAAAAACCTGCTTTGCTGCTTGAACCAAATTAAGATGATGAAACTACTTTTTTTTAAAATGTAACCTTTTCTACAATTTCTTTTGCAGAATCCATCTTGGCAAAGTTTTGACATCAGTCGGTATGAGACTGAAATCAACATCAAATCTCAATGTATCCTTACGCCATCAAACAGCATCTGAGAAGACAGTTGACATCAAAAAAGGCCTAATTTTGGAAAAAGAAAGAAAAGAGATTTTTCATCAATAGTTCCAAGTTCGAAAATGTATACGAATAACGATTTATAGAAGTTGACAGCATATCAGAGCAATTTGAGAGAAATCTTCTCCCTTTTCCTTTTATTCAAGAAAAAAATTTGCTTAATTACTATTAAAGTTAAATGCCTTCTTACAGATAGTTAATGAATGGAATTATGACTTCTAAAAAATCCTGATAAGTAACTTTTTCTTGTTAACTTTAAAAAGAAAAAGCTACCTTTTTTTCCAATTTCTGCATCTTCTAGTTAACATTTGAATGTAGATTTCAAAATAAGTTAGAAGTATATGTTTACCAGAAAACCAAAACATGTCGGAGTCTATTCAGGACTTCGACTCTCACTGTATTTTTGAGACCTTGACCACTGTCCAGCCTTGGTTGTGCGAGTATGGCTGGTAATGGACGATGACTGTCGTCTCCTCCTAGACTGGACTGTCCACCTGACTGGCTTGAATTTCTTCGCTGATAAGGTCAGAGTTGAAGTAGATCATATGTTTAGTAAGGATCCCTTTCCCACTGCACTGGTTTTCACATTTATCTCCCCTTAATATTGTTTTGTCTGTAACTGTATACCTAGCATTGTTGGGCCAGGAGACTTCCGTTGACCAGGCAGCTCAGTCGGTCTATAGCACAGTAAAACAATCTGAAGTCCAGGGTTCGAATCCCAGTGTAGCCCCGCTGAAGTTTTACAATCAGAATACTGTTGTTGATTATACTTTGCTTATGGTCATGTCTCGGAACAAAAAGTTTCCAGAGTTTAGTTAATTTTTGGCAGTGGTACAGGGTTTCTTAAACATGACATACTGTAAAAATAGTTGTTTTAGTGGTTATCTTATTTTAAGGATTTGTGTAATGATTGTCTTCATTTATGTATTCAAATCCTCATTATTAAGAATTTACAAGACTTTAATCAATTCGTTCATGTTCAAATACATTTCTTAATCAACTCTTACCTCCAAATTAAAAGAAAATCTATGTTTTATACTGGTATCTTCCTTTCTTGTGGTCCCTGGGCCCGTATTCATGAAACTGTTCTCATACTCAAGTATGAATTCTGGGCTCAAACCAGCTTTCTTGTAAGTGAGTTACAAGAAAATCATGTCAAACAATCAAAAGTCAATTGTAAACACTGAAAACAGTGTTCAGCTTTAAGTCTCTTAATTTGTTTTCCAAATCATTGACAAAATGAGATTTTATTTATAAATTTATAACTGTAACAAGAAATTAGGCTTGAGTACAAAATCCATGCTTGAGTATGAGAACAGTTTCATGAATACGGCCCAGTTCTTTGGAGACAAAGATTGACAGCTTCAGCAGGGTTTCATGAAGTTCAGAAATATTTGAAAATGAAAGTTTTTATTTTTTGTCTTAAAGAAATATTCTTGGAACAGAGATAATGTGGGGTTGTATTAAGGAATGACCAAGATTTTGTTTTTGTATATATGGTATATACCGAAAATAATTTGTGCACGTTGCATAAATCCGCGAAGTGGTTTATGCAAAAAAGTGCACAATTTTGTTTTCGGTATATACCGTATATACCAAAACAAAATCTTAGGCATTCTGTATAATTTAATTTAAAAAAAGTAGACAAACACGTTGTAAATGCACAGTTAAAGATTTATTTAATTTTTACGTAAACTAAACAATTGCGCTAAAAAAAAGCTGCATTGTAATTTTGCATTCTGAAGTATAAAAAGTAGTTCCGTCATCAGTTGTTTTTCGTTTTAGGTATATACGATATATACCAAAACAAATATTATGGGGGAGATAGGCAAAATTAAATTATTTCAGGTTAGCCTTTAAAAAAGTATTCAAGGGAGGTAACTTGCACACAAATGACTGGATTTCTAATTTTGTTTCATGTACAATTTATTTTCTATAATGACAGCTACAGCAAGATACAGTGAAGTACTCTCCCAACACAGTGGTTTTTGGAATGTTTGACAAGTTCTTCATAGCGCCTGACATCAATAAAGGAAAGGTATGCTGTGTACTAGTAAACAATGAGTTACGCAGATATTTCAAATACTTCATATAGTCAAATTATGCTCCGATGTTGATATATTTATATTCTCTTAGATATATTTTGTAACCCCTGTTTATTTCATTTTTTCCATGACCCTTATATATATATCTTTCGATATAATTAATTTTGAGTGTACGATATTTTATTGTTTCTGGAACATCTGAGTTTAGACTTAGATGTACAATCATTTGACTTTATTATCTGACAAATCTTTGGGATCTTTTTCCTAGGTGGAGCCACTTATGACACTGCCAGTAGAGGTGGGGACTGCCAAGAAATCCTACACGTCTGCATCCTTGGAGAGGTATATTAAATTTATGTGATGAAATATATTACGAAGGATGTTTTATTTTAAGTAATAAAGAGAAAATACTTCAATTTTTTTCCTATCATTTACTTTGTGATGTTGAATTTTAGCTTCAATTTTCATTCATTTGGGATGTTGATTAATAGGAAAGTTTTTGTACAGAATTATTCTTGCAAAAAAAGATGCAATGTTTCTCCAACCCTTCACATGTGTGTCTCCCATTTCAGCCGAGAAAGATCAGCTTGTCATCCCCGTGGGGGTGATAGCCTTGTTCCAATTAGCATGTGTTCAATTGTGACGTCATTAAAATGTGTCACCGGTGTAATTATGACGCCATCAAAAGTGAATGACGATATTCATACCCCACAAGTGTTTTTGTTTACAAACAATGGCAGATTATTGTCGGCAGAGCTGTGACTGAAATAATAGGATGGGAGAAAAATAATCATCCCCTACCTTGAGGGTGTAACAGAGAAATCTCACACCCTCGGGTGATTTTTGTTGGTTGTCGGCAGGACCTCGTGCTAGACAACAGAAAATTCACCACTGGGGTAGGAGATTTCTCTGTCACACCTCAAGGCGGGGGGAAGATTCTATTATTCCATGTTGTACTACTGGTATCAATGGTGTCGTGCATCAATGTTCCACAGATACACTAGTAAGGCATACTTTTAAATTGAACTTTTGTATGCTGTCAGTACAAGGACCAAAATTGAAATGCTATATAATTATGGATAATAGAGTTCNGTTGTTGAATATGTTATTTATTTCACTCGAGTTAGTTAATTTTCAACAGTTACAAAAGACACGAGCTTTAGCGAGTGTCTTTTTTAACTTTTGAAATTTAACTAACGAGAGTGAAATAAATACAATATTCAACAACCATGAGTCGTGTGATCTGTTTCTACCACAATCTCATGATCAGTCAGAAATAACCTACACACGTGTATTTGTTGACAAGGCTGGCATAGTGATATGACCCATATGTAAAAAGTCACTCATTAATATTCAAAAACAACTTCTTTTTTACAAATTCAATAATTGTCTAAATTAATGTTTCGGCAACAACTTCATGAAAAAATATATAATAGATGAACGACATTAAATATTGAGAGTAGCCGTATTTTATTGATTTATATAAATTAACCACGGACTATATGCGCGTAAGCATATCGTACGAAGTCTGCCTCCCGCCAAGTGACGAACTTATCGTTGTCAATGTCCAAAACCATAGGCCTACGTTTCTTGTTGACGATTCTATGGTTGACGTTTATAGTGAAAGTTCAGCCATAGTCAGGCCATCCAAATAGAGATAACGGGACTGGGAGAATGAAATATTTTCCGACACTGGCAGATCTTAATTTGTTTTGGTTTCATGACCTGGACACGCGACAGTGTGACGTGGAAACGATACCGATCGTCTGTAGCAATTTTGCCTGAAACTAGCGATCTTCTTTTATTATTGCCTTAATAACCCCCTTTTCCGCATAACCTCACAAAGTCACCAACATTTGTCGGATGTTGATAGCAGACGAAGTAAACAAAACAGCAGGTGGCAAAAAGCAAGTGGAAAAAGTCGTCCCGGTCAAAGTTCATCTTCTCGACCAACCAAAACTCTTGCAGGTCATATACCACGTGTATATAATATTTATCTAACAGTCTGCGTGTTTATACAATGATCTGAGAGTGGAATAACACAGCGTATTGTGGTAGAAAAACTGCTACTGACCGTTACATTTATCAATCATTTACCAATGACTGGGAAATAAGAACTTTTTCCTTTGTTTTGCTTGCACAAAATCAATAATATTTACATAAAATAGACAAGATATATTTACTGACTAGTGAGCTATGTGACACTCTAAACATGATATTCAGAAGTACTGCACTGTAATCCAGAAAAAAAGGAAAGAAAAGAAAATATGCGCTTCAAAGGACAAATGCGCTTATTTATCAGGCCGAGTACAGTAAATCACTCATTTTACCGGATTTTCCCGTTTTCTTTTTCGACAGAATCTACACAGTATTACGTGCCATCAAACAGACCCAGGTGTCGGTCAGTCGAGTCCACAGGTCCATAGAAGATCGACTGTTGTCCTCCCAGGAAAAGACCCAGAAGGTACAATACCTGAGCTGGAACTTACAGTCTATGAAATCCCTTTAATATCTTGCATATCAGTTTTCTTGTTTTTATTTTCAAATTAGGTACCCAGGTAATTGTGTTTTTAATCTTAGAACTACTAAGGCATTCTCAAAGAAGGGGAATGTTTTCATTTGTTATAAATAATGCAACTCAACACAATTTCAATATACAGTCTTTAGTTATGATCCTTTTTGATATACCAGAAAAAGAAACCGTGTTTGTTTTATAAGGTTAGAACAAGCAGGTAAAGGATGATGGAGCGTCCTCAGATTCTAATGACAATTGGCCTTGCCAACCGAAACATGTGAAGTGATTAAACTAACATTTACGGAATCCTTTGTGTTGACGATCAATTACTTACCTACTTTTAATTACCTCCCTTTGGTGGACCTTTACTAGAATACTTCGGTATCCACCTCAGATTCCTCATCGGTACATTGACCTACCACTACCCACCGGACGTTGGATCTCCTCACCCAATAATTGTATTTGCATACCAATATCTTTATTAATTTCTACATTGGTAGGTTCAAAAGGAAGTATGAGGAGATTTTAGGGGAAATAAAGCTTAAATTCTGTAGGGGAAAACGACCTTTGTAACAGAAAATATTTGCCTGTAGGCATGGATGATAGGCCCTGAAATGTCACTGATGTATACGTATTGTGTATTTATTTAACAGCTGTGTGAGAGAGAAGCCACGCTACTCAAGGTGAGACAACTCCGTAGTGAGCTGACCTGGCAGGCGACAAATCTACAGGCGGACCATGAGGAGTGTGATAAACACAAACAGAGATACCAGACAGCCAGTATGTAAAGATTCTACCAATGTCGTACAAGTACATGTATCGATTGATAAGGAGGCTGTTTAAATTATTGATCACCCCATGAAGTATTCACTGAGAATGTCATTCTCGATACTCCAGGGATTACGCTCACTTACGCTCTCTGCACCCCTGGAATATGTCTCACTGAGAATGTCATTCTTGATACCCCAGGGGCTACGCTCACTTACGCTCTCTGCACCCCTGGAATATGTCTCACTGAGAATGTCATTCTCGATACTCCAGGGATTACGCTCACTTACGCTCTCTGCACCCCTGGAATATGTCTCACTGAGAATGTCATTCTCGATACTCCAGGGATTACGCTAACTTACGCTCTCTGCACCCCTGGAATATGTCATAGCAAAATTGAAGTCATCGGCTAGCTATTTGATTGGTCTCGGGTAAAAAAAACCTTGAACGATCGCTACGGTTGATACCTGGCCTTTGAAGATTACAGAGGAGTGACGCCAAACTACAAGCCGGTCATTTTGACCATTGCAGGACTTTGAGATTCTTTTGATGAACATCAGAGGATCAAACTAGTCTTCTTGTCTCATCCACTTGGTGCAAAGACTGAGCCTTCATTTTTGTCTTGACATATTCCAGGGGTGCGGAGAACATTGGAGTATCGAGGATGTTGGGTGAATTATACTTTAAAATGAAATTCTGAAGGTCAGGAATGATATGAAAATATAACAAAACATTGTTAAACTCACTGGTAACAGACATTTTTTTAAATTATGTATATTTTAAGACATTTGACATGCATTAATGTTTCTCTCTCTTTTTAGAAAATCAACTGGATGAAAGGTTTGCCTTATTAGAGCAGGAACGAGCACATCTTATTGACAGGAAAAAACTCAATAACCAGTCCAGGTAAAATGATAGAGGACAGTCATCAGACACACTGCAGCATTTTTCTGTTGTTAATTTGGGAAGGAAATTTTAACCATTTCACCCCTAGGTAACTTCAGTAGACTCTACCATGCTTGCATTTATGGGAATGGGTCCATTATGGTCTACGGTGGTGAAAGGGTAAAGGAGTAAAATTGCAAATTTTGGGAATCAGACATAAGTATGAAATAATTTCCATTGGGAATGGGGCCCATTAACAGCCCCCAAAAGCCCCCCAGAAAAAAACACTGCACTGCCATGCAGTATATAAATAGAGCAGTCAATAGAGACTGTGTGATATATGTAGGTCCGTTAAATAAATTTCTATTCCAAATTAGAATGTGAAGCTAGTTCTAAAGTTGATATTTTAGGTCGGGTCTCATGTGAGGTCTTTGAAACGAGTTAAGGAGTGAGTTTTCATCTGAGCTTAAAGAAAACATGGGGATGAGTTTCGCAAAATCTTGCATGAAATGGAAATGAATTTAAAATCCATCATCAAAAAGAATTTTTAAATTACCCTTTAAATTTTGTGTTGATTGTCTTAAGTGCTACATCACCATGCTATGATGTTGGTGATGTTACTCAGGTAATGTGTGAATTAAAAGGCATAGGCATACTGTTGTATAATGGTATAGTTGTTGGATAAGTTTATTTTTCCTCAGGAAAGACTGCTCACACATGTTTTTATTCAAAAATTAAAACATCACCATTTTTGATTTTTGGTTTTTGGTCATCAGCATCCTCGCTTTATGACTTTTTATTATTTCACAGTAGAATTGTGTCCTCAATGTTGGAAGATGTGTAAAAATTGCAGTGCTATGTTTATGGCAGTTAGTTTTCATTGTAGGTGACAGCTAACCATTAACCCTTTCACCACTGGAGATCATAATGGACTCATCAAGATCAATGCATGGGAGAGTCTACTAAAGTTTCATAGGGGTAAAAGGGTTAATGAGTTGGATGATGTTGACCGAGAAAATTCAACCCTCCTGATAAGATATTAATTGTCTAAACATCGACAAATCTTGTTTAAATATCTAAAAAATCTCGGGTTGAGATTTTCCTGTCTGCATCACATGGTTATGATAGATTTTATTGAACTTTTCGAAAATCTGTCGAACTTGCTGCTGTCCAAATAATGCAATGCCTAAAAAAACATGTTAGATGATGATTTTGTTTGTGTCTTCAGGGAGAGTTTGATCAAAGAGAATGCTCAGCTGTGGATACGAAGAAAACAGCTGACTGGAGAGTTAGCTACAAATGTCTACCCGATCACTGAGGTATGTCACCACATCTAGGTCTGGGATACGTTTTACCAACACATGTCGAAGAATGATAGTATGCTTTCACCTGGTTGGTGGCTGAAAATTTGATCAAGAAAAAATTATAATAGTCATAAACTTAAGATTTGTTGAAGTGAATGAAACAATATATGATTTTTCATGCCCCTGTCATTTTATTTGGGGGGTGGGGGGAGGGGGGGTTGGTGGAAGGGGCATATCATTTTACCCATGTCTATCCCATCCAATCAGTATGGGAATACCTTGAATGTTTGTATATCAGGGTTCCGAGGTCAAGGTTTCTACTATTCCTTTTTATAAAAAAAAATATATGAAAAAATGACATTAATATGCATGAGAGTGAGACATTCATGTCATTTTAATGTAAAATGGGAAACTTTTGTCCTGGTTTCTTTGTTTTTTCTCTCGTGAATATGCAGGCCGTTTTAATTGGAAAACAAACATCAGATATTTACAGTAAAGAAAATCTCGAATCTTAGGAGTGGGATTCTACCCATGTGAATATAATTTGAAAGATTCTAGGACAAAAATTTAGCAGGGTAAACATTTTACTGGAATAGTAATAACTAGTATAGCAAGGTTAAGATGTTCTTCTGTCAAATGTATTTGTTCGTTGTTGTACAGACTTATTTCTGACGTTTCGATTTTCATATTGTTGAGCAACACATATTTGCTGGAGTTACTTCCCTTTGGACACTGTGAGATATGTTTTGTAATGTTTACGATATCTGATCACTTCCTTTTCAGAGCAAGAAATCTGACCAAAAGTCTGACCTGTTTGTTTGTGGTGTCAAACTACCAAACTCTGAGGAGTTTCAAAGTAAGTGTTTGAGTAATAAGTTGTCAGATGTACAAGCATTGTAAAGTTGTGAGAGACAAACATCCCTGTCGAAATATACTGTAGCATTAACTCATTCAACCCCTGAAGACACATTTGAACTCTTCCAATTCAAAGGTTGGTATAGTTCATTACGAAATTTCAGGGGTTAATGAGTTTAATATTGACTCTTTAACATAAGTTTGAAAACGTTCTAAAATTTCTTCTTTTATGATATTGTGCTGGTCCTCAGACTTGTTTGAAGCTAGAATAAATCCTTTTATTATTACTACGGGGTTGTACAAACTTGTCAAGGCCATCCTTAAAACATATTTTGTTTGCAGTTTCCCAACTCAAATATTTTTTTACTTCGCAGGTGGGTAGGAATTTTTGTTTATTGTCTCGCTGCCAGGAAGTGGTAGCGAGACTTACGTGTTGCTTTTCCGGCGACGGCGTCAAAATTAAGTTTTGCGTTTAAGCTAAATTCTCTGAAAGTTAAGTGCTACACCAACCAAACTTGGAACATAGATGCATCTTGGGTAGTACATCTCAACCAACCCATGTATTAAATGCTGGATGCGGCCTACCTTTCATGGTCCATTGACGTATAAGTAAGTTTCTCTGATTTGTGCATTGATGGTCAAAGCGGGGCATAGGCAAGACATATCAATCCGAATGGCTTGTTTTTAGAGAGTAGAAATCTCATTTTGCTATATAAAAAGCCTTAGTTTCACAGATTTATCAGCTAGAAAAAAACATTTAACAAAAGTTTCCAAAAAATGGTTGAGTACCTGGTAGATGCCATCTTTAGTGAGGAAGTTGGAAAACTGCAAGCAAACCATTTTTTTAAGGAAGGCACTTCATCAATACCTCGACAATACAATGTACGTCAGCCCTTATTGTGGTGTTAGTTATGTTGACGAGTCAATTTTGGGGTTTGAAAGCTGATATTACCCTCCCATAGTTATAAGAAATATATGTACATCCTGGACTTGATGGATTTCATTCCAGAACTTACATTTCATTACAGCCAAACCTGTTCATGAGACCACCTGTGTTACCCATTGTAGTGATTTCTTTTTTTCTCCCATTTGAATGAAGGGAGACCTATTGTTTCAGTATACTGGTTATGAATTGAACCTAATTATTTATATACCATCTCGTAAACCCTTTCACCACTATAGACCATAATGGACTTATCCAGATCAATGCGTGTTAAAGTCTATTAAAGTTACATAGGGATGAAAGGGTTCAAGGACATTTTTTACTTTCTGAAGGTGTCCCTTAATACACGTTTGACTGAACATGCTTGATGATTTTCTTAGTTCAATTTTATCGTAATCACCCTTTCTCTCTCTGTATAAAGGTCAGACAGACATGATGGTGTCCGTATCCCTAGGTTACGTGTGTCACATGGTCATGATGATGTCGGACATTCTTGACATTCCACTGAGGTATCCCATGATTCACCATGGGTCAAGGTCACTCATCCGTGACCACATTCACACCAAGTTGTTGGACAAGGATCGGGAGTATGTATTTAAGGCAGTATACTATGTTTTTGTGACAGAAGAGTTTCACTCACGTAAACCTTGTTTTATCAATATCTTTCCAGGTTGACTCCGACGTCTCGAGTGTTAGCCAGTTTTAATTCTGTATAACAAAGTATTAGATAGTATGACATAATTTTTTTATAAGAGATTACTACAAAATTTAAAAGGTAGTTTACATTTGTATTTCCTCAAGTCTCATGTCAGAGTATTGCTTGGAGATAAAATATATATCTAAAAGATATAGATATAATAAAGATATAGATACATTCTAAAATTTATTTTGATCGATAAACAATTTAAAAAAATTGTCCTCTAACCCGTTCACCACTGTAGACCATAATGGACTCTTCCAGATCAATGCATGGTTGAGTCTACTAAAGTTATAAAGTGGCTAATACAAAATCTTTGTATTTTTATGACATGTGGATTTTTATGGCGATGTAAATTTACTGAGGCATTAAGGAAAACATTGAATGAACATGAGAGGAATGATTCTAAAAAAGCATTTCATACAAATAGGACTAAAATGACCTATTAAGAGAATTTGTGACCTTGTTACAGTGAAACTGTTTTATTATTTCAGATTTCCTTTATTTGCAAAAGGAAAAGAAAAGTTCCAGTTTAACTATGGAGTTTTTCTTCTGAATAAAAACATAAGCCAGGTAAGTTTCAATATTGCAATTTAATAAAAGTGATGTCACCGATATACCTTTGTTTACCTGCTCGTTCGTGATGTACCCCTTGTATCCCCTCTTAAAGCAGTCTTTAAGATTTTGGAGACTGAAGTGTAACAAAGCGGTTGGTCAGTTGAATTTTGTATAAGGTAGTGACCCAATCCCATAACAGTAGGCATTTACAATTCTGATTTATAGGCCCCCAAAACGTAGTGAGGGGAGCAAAAATTGCATGCTTTTTCCATCAGTCTGTCCAAATATGTATGTAGGTGCATTTTATGGGGTACTAGAACTATATATTCTGCTATAAAATTTCTGCTTTGCTGACTTTGGTTCATCTTCGATACTCCAGGGGTTACGCTCAGTTTCGCCCTCTGCACCCCTGGAATTGTCATAGCAAAATTGCCGGCACATGACTAGCTATTCGATTGGTCTCGGGTAAAAAAAACCTGACCAATTACTAGGTGGATACCTGTCCTTTGAAGATTACAGAGCTCAAGGAGCAATACCCAACTTTAAAGCCAGCCAATTATACTGTTATGCGACCGACACATTACTTTGATGTTCATCAAAGGTTCAAACAAGTCTTCTTGTCTCATCCACAAGGTGGTGCACAGTGAACCTTCAATTTTGCTATGACATATTCCAGGGAAGCAAAGAGCAAAATTGAGCGTGACCCCTGGATTATCGAGGATGACTTTAGTTGGAATTTGCATATAACACAAATTTTAACGTAACAGAATTTGGGGTCATTTTCAAGTTTACTTTATTTTAAAGTTACCATCAATTGGTTTCACTTACATAGTCCAGCATAATCTGGGTGATAGCTAAAGAAAATCATTTACTGCAGAAATTATGAACAAAACAAACATGAATACCTTGAAATGTAAGCCCCTGTGTGTTAAAATTGGATCACAACTACCTTCAGGACCTCCCTTAATACCTATGGCAGATTTTAATTGTAGATAGGATTACGGTCACCTTTTAGCTTCGTGCTAGAGGGAATTTCCCTTTAGCTTAGTGGTGATCGTGGGTTTGATCCACGGCGAAAGCACACTACTTTCTTTCCTCTTACAAGTGATGTCCGTGGCCCTCCCTGTAGTGACAGGGAGTTAGATTAGAACCTGCAATTTAAAATGGGGGGAGTAGTGTGGCAGATTTTAATTGTACATGGGATTATGGTCACCTTCTAGCTTCGCGATAGAGGGAATTTTCCTTTAGCTCAGTGGTAGAGTATCTGACTAGGAAGTCTGGGATCACGGGTTCGATCCCCGGTGGAAGCACACTACTCTCTTTCCTGTTACGTACCATTATGTATCTGCAACATTAGATAGAGGCACTCACCAGTTTTGTCTGTTGTGTTTTTCAGTTACGATATTACTGCGGCCTCGGGACAACAGACCTGCGACAAACTCTCAACAACATCAAATCCCTCCTAGAACTTCGATTAGATGTTAGAATGTAAGTATAGAATATTTTTCTTATTTTTGTTTAACGCCCTATTAACAGCTAAGGTCATTTAAGGACTTACATGTTGTGTAAGCGTCGAGTGTGTATGTATGTGTGCCGGAGACAGGGTATGTTGTGTACTTTCCTCCTTTGCGACTTTATAGTGCTATCTCACTGAAACACCATGCTGAAGACACCCAGCACAGCATTCCGCCCGGTCACATTATACTGACAACGGGTGAACCAGATGTTGCCATTACTGTTTGTATAAATGTTGTTGTTTGGTCCAGTGAAAGTTCACAGCAAAGATAGAAAATGTCTTCTCTATCAGGTACAAACAGATATGTGAGAAAATTCACCCTAAATATGGAGGTTTAAAAAGGCGACAATTAAACTGCAATGAAAATTTCCCAGTTTACAGTATTTCCAGGTAATTTTTTATAAAGTGTGTTATATAAAAGAGCCATTCTGCATTGAAAATTTCCTTGTTAGGTACACTTACCAACAACTTTGAGTCTGAACTTTCACTTATCCATACAACAAGAAGTATGATACCTTACGGTGACATGTCTTTGTAACACATTTTCTGGACACAATTTTATCACTTTTGCCTCCACTGAGTACCTCAATGATTAAGAAAACTATGCAATTAATTTTTCCTATAGCTTGATATGTTTAACATACTTACTTTTTCTATATGAAACATGATATAACTTTAATTTTCCATGTCACAGTAATGTAGCATACACCCTTAAGTCTCCATGTCAGGGTAAAGTAGCATAAAGCTTTAAGTTTCCATGTCACAGTAAGGTAGCATACATGTACATCATTAAGTCTCCATGTCACAGTAATGTAGCATACAGCCTTAAGTCTCCATGTCACAGTAAGGTAGCATACATCATTAAGTCTCCATGTCACAGTAATGTAGCATACAGCCTTGGGTCTCCATGTCACAGTAAGGTAGCATACTGCCTTAAGTCTCCATGTCATAGTAAGATTGCAAACACTGAAATATATCTATTATATTAAAAATCATTGGTTTTCATTCTTATATTGTTTGTGTTCTAATATGTAGGGATACACCTGGAATTCGTAGAATTGGACCTGGAGACGAGGGCAGAGACCGGAGCGTGTACGATTTTGATCGCACAGACACACAGAGCTCTCTAGCCTCAGGAGGGAGATTTAGCCTACCCGATAGTACTGACATGACTACTCTTGATGTGACATCTAAAGAGAATAAAAATAATCACTCACCGGGGGAATGTCAGAACAGTTCACAGATAGGTGGTCAGGAAACCAATGGTACGCGGCCTGAGAAACGTCCAGATGAAGAGTTAGAAGAGATATTCCGACCGTCAGAGGACCGTTTCTTTAAGATATCAAATCCGGTTTCTGAACAGCTTGACATGTTTAATGACATGAATGTGATTCAGGAAGATTTCGGACGTTTTGAAATTATCGATGAAAATAGTGTGATATCGCGTGATCATGTGACTGACGATGGGTGCGATCAAAGAGATGTAAGAAGTGCAATAATGGGAAAATCAAATGCTAGTCAATTAATGGGGGATAACTCTGTTTATAGTGTTGTGGATAAAGAGGATTTGTCCTTCAACAATCAGGGACCAAAAAAGGGAAAACAAGTGCTGCATGTGGACAGTGCCAATTTGAGAGTCGGAGTGGGAGGGGACATAACTCTGCATAATACAGGAAACTTTGACCAACTTGACGACGAACCTGCACGCTCTGCAGGGAATGATTGTGATAAAACGGACATGGAAAAGGGAGTTAGTTCATTAGACAGGGGAGATAACTCCACTGGCAGTAATGAACCAGAAATAACTACTAAACACCAAACAAATGTTGAACCCAGTTCCAGTGAATACTCTAAAGACAACTGTGATACAGAACATCAGAACCAGTCCAATTCACTCAGTATATCAGGTTTCCCGGAAAGTGGTGATCAAAAGCCATCTGTATTACCCAGAGATAGTTCTACTGACTCAGATTCCTCCGATAACTTCAGGTCATTTAAGACCTCTGCTTTCAAACATTCCAATGACCTTGTTGTTAATCAAGTAGACAGTGATACTAAGTCTTATGAAAGCTTGAATAGTGGGAGTAGCCCACAGGAAGCTCTTTCAGAAAGGGAGACCACTTACTCTTGATGTTGAAAATATTCTGTTTAGATATATATATATATATACTATAGATGGATAGGAAAGATATCTAAGGAGTGCCATATTGTGGAAGTCATGAAATGAAAACTTTATTGCCTAAAATAGTTAAAATGAAGCATGTCTGCTAGGGCTTCAATGATATGTTAACATGACCATACAAATGGTTTAAATGAAGAATGTCTGTAAGGGCTGCAACCTTACATTAGAATGACGATACGATACGTATCACGATACTGTGGTCACGATATAATATGTATCACGGTACTGTGGTCACGATACAATACAAATCAGGATACTGTGGTCACGATACTGTGGTCACGATACATACAGTAACAGTAGAAGCGCAAAGAGAAAAGTTATGTTGCAAATCTTTAGTGGCAATATTACAAGTGGAAATAGACTTGGTCCAAAATGGGCATGACTTTAAAGTTTCTCACAATTCAGGTCCTTCGACATGCATGCCAAGCTTGAGATATCACTCGCTATATTGGAACGGATATGAATAGATATTCAGAAACGATAAAATATCCCAGGTGTATCATGACCTCCCAAAAATATTATGCATTAATATACCGTTTACAAATATCGCGATATATTGTCGCACGATATATCATTGAAGCCCTAATGTTTGCAAAATCATTTGTTTTGTGGTGTATTTGAATGACAATCAGGATGAAAAGCTTTATTTATTTGACTGTTATTACTCAAGAACAGTTGTACAAATCAATCTGTTTTATGCTGTATAAAAGGAAGGTTTTAAACTTTACTTACACGAAAACACTTTGACTCTTTTGATTAATTTACTTTGTTAATGAAATAGATATATTGTAATCTTAGAAAATAAAAGCTTAAGACAAAATGTAGGAGTGATAGGAAAAGGGCAACGTAAATATTATCTTGGGTGTTTCACAAATTTATATTTCTGAGAAATGTATATGTTTCATTTACAATATCGCTCACAGAAGACAAGTTCTCAGACTGTTACCGTGAATTGTGTTTTACTAGATTTTTTTACTTGAAGAGAAATATAACTATAAGAAGGATTTAAATAATCCATGGACATAATTTTTTAGAGGCACACAGTAAACCATGAAATATAAGATAATATGTTATTTATTACTTCTAGAGTTTGGTCTTTTTGCAATCAAATACTGTTGATAATTTCCTTTAGGAATCTATTACCGTACTTGTGATATCAACGGACTTCCGTAGTCTTACCAACAATGGGACATAACCATGATCAGTACTGTTGATTTTTAAAAAAAGTTTGAATGTGTGTTTCATCAGAAAGTTCACTGGAAAAAAAATATCTTGCCCGCTCAAGTACCATAAATATTCATAATTCTTTTTAAAATTTATGAACTTGTAATGCTAAAATATTTTCTCAGTATATTATCCCTAAAATGTTTCAGAATCATGCAACTTTGTCAAGTTGAATGTAATATTACTAAAAAATTGAATATAAAAAAAAAAAAATGCTTTGAATTTCAACATACCATATTTATCCAGCAATAAGCCCATGCCTGCTAACAGGCCCACCTACAGTACATCTATTGTAGTTAAGTTAAATTGCCAGCAAATGCTATTTTATTGTACCATCACAACTACCCTTGACTTTAAGTCAGAGATGATGTGGGGCTATACATATATAATTATAGGACAGATATAAGTATGCGATATATGTACGGGCCGCGGTGGCCAAGTGGTTAAGGCGTCTGACATTCTGCTACCACTAGCCCTCTACTACGTACTGGGTTGCGGCTTCGAGACCTTCGTGTAGCAGTCACTAGGTATTGGTGGCAGGTTGGCGTTTTTTCTCTGGAACTCTGGCTTTCCTCTACCACCAAAACCTGGTGCGTCCTTAAATGATCATAGCTGTTGATAGGACATAAAACACAAACAAAGCTATATATGTACATCATTGAGAAGACTTATAAAGGGGTAATAGACTATTTCACACATTCATCTGTAAAGTATGAAATTAAATTGAAGAATATAATATTGACATTCATGATATTGCTCTATGATATGTGGTCTAGCTCTCTCATCACTGTTCTCTACATGTCAATTTTTCTCTGGAAAGTATATCTTTTATAGGCATTACTGAGTCATTGTTGTGAAGTTATGTTTATATGGGTATGTGGTCAGCAGAAGTTTAAAATGACCAGGGAACTTTTTGTCTGATACAGCAATGTGTCATCCTGTTGTATACACAGGGACATGAAAATCTATTATAGTTTGTGTGTATGGACCTATGTCGGTGTTAAGGGAGTATGAGGGTGTTGGATGTTTTAGATACTGATAACCATATTCTGATTCATCCCCAAAAAAATGTAGCCTCTACAAAATCTGTGTCAGACCTTTTGTTTTTTTAGAAAACATGAATTTGAAGAGATTCTTTCTCTAAAGTAAAGGCAGTCAGATTTTTGTATTTCCTCCATTTTTCAGGGTTGCCTCCCTTTTATACCCACCTTTGGCCTTTAAGATCAGCACTCTAAGCTTGACCTTGCTTTGTATACTGTTACTACATGTATATACTGTCATTAGGGGAGTGTTGGTCCTACCCCCTCCCACCTAAATCTGTCTAGTAATACTCCCTACCGACTATGCATGGCCCTACTCATGAAACCCATTCTCGTGCTGAAGCATGGATTCTGTGCTTAAAGTTTCTTATAATTCTCTTAAATCATGCGAAATGGTAAAAAACGTCAAGGGTAAACATTGAAAATGGTATTCGATTTTAAGTCTTTCCGAAATTCTTCCAAATCCTAGACCAATCTAATTGTAATTAGACTTGTAATTCTGCTCCTCTACGATACACTCCAATACAATGTATTGGAGTGTATCATAGACTTACTGTGATTTTTTATTGATTTATCAACATAACAAGGAAGTATTCCGTGTTTGCTGTTTGCGTATTGCAGAGTTATCTTCTCTTTGGAGCAGGTATTGATTGTTACGTCACTTGTTTGTGAGAGTAACATCATCAATTTTTGAGAAAACGACGTAATTTTCTCACACAAACCAATGACGTAACAATCAATCCCTGCTCCCAAGAGACGATAACTCTGCAATACGCAAAGATGGAATACTTGAGCAAAGAATTTTATTTTGACCATGAGAACGGCTTAACAACATCCAAACAAAATAATGATTCCCATGTCCCTGTGCACAGAAAACAGTCATATAGTGCATCTTTGTGTCTTACGATCCCACATACTGTTGTATGTGTCTGAACATATAACAAACAGGTATAGAAGCACTGCATATAGATTGACTTCATACAGGTATATATCAGAGTTATAAGGGCATTAATGAATCGTTGTTAACACAGTAAAATAATTTTAAACTTACATTGTGATAGGTACTTTGTTTTAAACATTTTTAGCATGTGAGTGTAGAGATTGGTCTGGAATCGGTGATTGTATGAGTGAGTTTATTGTATGCATGTTTTTGTTTTGTACAAATTCTATTGCTTACTTCATTCTGTGTGGGATAAAATTGGTCTTGTACATCTTTGTAGACTCATACACCCCTGAAGACACATTTGAACTCTTCCAATTCAAATGTTGGAATAGTTCATTAATGAAATTTCAGGGGTGAATGTGTTAATGGAAGTATGATGCTCTCATCATTGTATATCAGTGAGGAACATCATAATGACAAATCGATCGAAATATAGAGCGTTTGTGCTGAAATCGATCGGTCCCTCAGACTTGAGCAAGTCTAGGTCATGCAGAGCTAACGATATTGTCATGTCAGCAGTCCGAGAGTTTCCGTATATGATATATTATAATGATGTACACTACCTGGTGTGGTGCCATATTGTTTATAACATTGTATTAACAACGTTGATGTTGTGCCGGTTGCAAAATTGCTTTCAAAACCAACGTAGATCTCGTTCCTTAAATCATAGCATTTCCACACAATTCAAAAATGTCTCATCCATATTTTCTACTTGTTTTGTAAATTGATATTCAAGATGTTCGCTTTCTGGGCAAATGCAAATGTTTTGCATGATTTCAAAAATATATAATCAATTCGTCGTCCAAACTAATCCAGTGTCGTAAGCTTTAACACATTCCAAGATTTATAGTGAGTTGAACCTGATAGGGTTTTTCATCCCATCAATAAATAGGAAGGTCGTTAGTCGATGACGTCATATATTCTAAACGTCAATAAATAGGATGGTCGTTAGTTGGTGACGTCATATGTTCTAAACGTCAATAAATAGGATGGTCGTTAGTTGGGGACGTCATATGTTCTAAACGTCATTAAACAGAATGGTCTGTAAATGACGTTGTGTCTTTTTAGTCCAGATAAGATGGCTGCGAGTTGATGACGTCATGCATGTATGCTCTTTACGTCAATAAGCGTGAAAGTCGTGAGCTAGTGACGTCATATATTCTTCACGTCAATAAATATGATTATAATGAATGCTCGTGTTCTTTTTTGTTCATATTGCCTATGAATGCCAATTGAAAGCAGTTCAATTACACTTGTTATTATTCAGCATTTTGTTCAAATACTATATGTATCGTGTATGCTTGTTCAATGAATAGAACAGCCATCGCCCGGGGAGGGTCAGTGGTATGTAACGTAACAATTACGACGTCATAATAATGATTACGTCAACAATCGGCCAATGGCATTCAGTGCCTGTGCTATTGGTCTTTCAGATGATGAGCAAGCACATTGAAATTAGAGAGACTATGATGAAAGTATACTTAGTTCGCTTCTGAAGTTGAACTTAAAAAGTTAGTTATTAGTTAGTAAGTTACTCAGAAAGACCCAAAGTTGAAGAATCAAGGAACTGTTTTAAACCAAAATACTTTGGGGTTTTTTTACATTCAAGATACTAAATAACTTGAAATTAGCAGAAATGCTGTTAAAATTTGGGATACAAATCTGAAACCGACAAACTACGTCGTGTGTCGAAAATATAAAAAAAGTAAGCCGACAGCTTAACATGTATACAACGATGAAATCATAATATAATTTCCCGTTTATCCTTGAAAACGTCGATAAATTGCTCTCGTTTATCACTAGATATTAATAAACCTCGATTTAATGCCATTGTTTTCCACTTTATAATAAACCTCGATATAATACCAATCGAGGGCCCGCGGTGGCCAAGCGGTTAAGGCGTCTGACATTCTTCTACCACAAGCCGGAGACCACTGGGTCGCGGATTCGAGACCTACGTGGGGCAGTCGCGAGGTGCTGGCCGTAGGTCGGTGGTTTTTCTCCGGGAACTCCGGCTTTCCTCTACCACCAAAACCTGGCACATCCTTATAAATGACCATAGCTGTTAATAGGACGTAAAACACAAACAAACCAAACCAAACCAATCGTTTCATTTGTCACCGTACATACATGCACCGTTAATACATTTTAACGAATCACTCATCTAAGTCCGTGATATACACAAACCCCTTTGTTTAGTCAATATTTTGTTGAACAAATCCTGGCAGCATAACGAGGTTTTACTGTATGTACTTGATGTATATGTATTATTCCGCCGACTGGTTTACTACACCGAATACAGCAACAATTTAAGTGATAATTTCAGTCTTACTTGTGTTTCCCTTGTAGTATGACGCTAGCAGGAAAATAAGCCTACTTAGTGTAAATAAAAATCGAATTTGTTAGATATTGTATTTTGCCGGAATTGGTGTAACGAATACAACACACCATTTTAGCGTCAGCTAATTGATACAACTATATTCGCAGGCCTCATGCAAATCCATGAAGAACCTACAAGAGAAAAGAGCCTACTTGACCTAGTATTCATAACAAACCCTAGCCTAATCAAAACATCGAATAATATATCAGGCATTTCGGACCACGACATTGTAGTTACTGACATGGACACCAAACCATACTACCAGAAAACACCAAAAAGAGTGCAGAAGAGAAAATTGGGTGGAAACAAAAAAGGAAAGTGACAGTCTTAGCCAAACCATTAATAACAGAAGAATGCTGGCAGAAGTTCAAAAATAACCTACTAGACTCACTTAATTCAAATATACCAACTAGAACTGTAAAATCCAACAATAATCTTCCATGGTTCAACAAAAGGATACGGAAAATGCTGAAGAAAAACCAAAACCAAGCCAAAAAGACGGGAAATTGGAATAACTACCGTCACTATCAAAAAGACTGCAAACGTGAAATAAGGTAAGCGGAAAACGCTTATGTAACCAATGTTATATAAGAGGGACTCGATCAGAACAACACTAAACCATTCTGGAAATATGTAAAATCAAGGAAACAGGATAACATAGGGGTGGCAGTACTAAAATCACAGGGCACCCTTGTCATCGACAGCAAAGATCTGTCTTCACCCGTAATAACAACAAAATCTCGCCAAAACACGTATAAACTTAAATCATTCGATTCCTAATCTAAATATTAATCAAGAGGGAGTAGCAAAGCTCCTACGAAACCTGAATCCTTCCAAAGCGTCGGGTCCAGATAACATTCCAAATCGTGTTCTAAAAGATGTGCAGACCACATAGCACCCATTCTGACACAAATCTTCAAGACCACAATACCTACCGGTGAGCTACCAGTAGACTTGCTAAGTGCAAACATTTCCTGCATCTTCAAAAAGGGAGACAAACACTTGGCAGAAAATTATCGTCCGGTATCACTAACATCAGTACCATGTAAAATTCTAGAACACATAATATGCAAACATATATTAGATCATCTGGACAGACATAAGGTACTTACATCTCTGAACCATGGCTTCCGATCAAGATACTCCTGTGAAACACAACTCATTACCACCATTGACGACCTACTGAAATCTTTTGACCGTGGCAAACAAATGGACATGGCAATACTTGACTTCTCCAAGGCCTTTGACACAGTTCCTCATGACAGATGACTCCATAAGCTGGATTCATATGGGATCAGAGGACCTCTGCACCAATGGCTAAAATCCTTCCTAACTCCCAGGAAGATGGGGGTTGCCATAGAGGGAGAACTCTCTGAAGAGGCAACGGTTGAGTCAGGAGTACCACAAGGAACAGTACTAGGACCTTACTCTTCCTTTGCCATATAAATGACTTGCCAGACTCTACGAAATCAACAGTTAGACTTTTCGCAGATGACTGTCTACTCTATCGAGACGACCTTAAACAGCTCGAAACTTGGGCTGCAAACTGGGGGATGAAATATAATGCCAAAAAAAAGGTCACACTCTTTATATTAAGAAGAAAAAGCAAAACACATACCAACTTAATGGATACAACTTAGATCACGCACAGACAAGCCCATACCTAGGATTAGAACTATCAGGGGATATGAAATGGAAAGAACATAAAGCAAGTACCACAAAAAGGCCAGTTCTACCGTAGGCTTCCTACGACGCAACCTACTACACTGCCCCAGAGAATGTAGAAAGACAGCTTACATTGCTCTTGTCAGATCCATCTTAGAATATGGAGCAATAATCTGGGACCCGTACATAAAGGCGAACATTAACAAATTGGAAAACATCCAACGGAGAGGGGCGCGTTTTATCCAGAAGGATTACAGAACAAGGGAAGAGGGTTTCATTACCAAACTACTCAAAGAGCTACAACTTCCACCACTAGCATCAAGACGAAAACAACAGAGACTAACATTCTATTATGAAATAGTAGAGGAGCAAATTCCATCAATGCCTAGCAAAGACTTTATAAATGTCCAACGTGAAAAAAGGAAAACACGACAGCGTATATTCCGGGACTGCTAGACATCAAGACCAATTCCAAATTCAATCCGGAACAATAACAGAGCAGTCATAATACCCAACAGCAACACGGAACAATACAGAAACTCATTCTTTGTGCGAACAGCCACAGATTGGAACCACCTGGACGACATCACAGTCGGGGTGCAAGGAATAGAGGCATTTAAAGCATCAATCCCTACCAACTGGGATTAAACGAAGCTAAGTATCGCATGCGTACTCAACCCCCTCCGCATTAAAGCCATTTTGGTCTCTGTGGAGTATAACATATAGATAGTTAAATAGATAGATAGATTTTGTAATTTCGTATAAGATTTCCTACGGTAAAGCAGTCACGCCACCTCAGTGACCCTGTGTACCACAGGATAAAATAACAAGATTTAAAAACCAAGATGACATTCCGGAAATAGCAACTTCATTGGAAAATTTTATTGAAAAGAAGAAACCTAATTATTTGTAAAAAAGTAAAACCTTTTTTTTTCAAACGACGGTGTAAAAAACATTTATTTTTACGACCTTACAGGGTATCATAATAATTAAATGACTGTTTTTTACTAAGAAATTTAAATGCTACAGGCGTGTTGATGGTGGTGAAGTTGATTAAGTGTGATATCGTATTAAGAGAAGTCGCAAGTTATGGCCTGTAGCTCCAGTAGACGTGACAGAGCAATTACGCGGTGCTCCAATCGATGTAACTTCTATCAAAATAATTTCATTTTAACATGTTTGCATGATCTGCTCCCTAAGACAATAATGAGGGGCCATAAGGGGAACTATGGGCTGTTTATTTCTCGTAGGAGTTCAAAGACGCAGTCAGATACCAATCGGGAACCGTCGGCACTTTTCGTAAACGAGAACCCCATATTTGGACCTTTTCCAAAGTGAAAAGAGTAAGTAATATTTGACCTGTTAAGGTTTTTGATCAACAATTGGTAAAATGCAACCCACAATGATGGTATACATATATATTTGTCAAAGTGTTGATCAAAACCCTAAATTAGCAGTGTGGGGAATCACGTGACTTAAGTTGGTGAATCCTGGTTTAAATCACGAAATTTAGAGATGGCGGCCTTCGGTAGTTTTGAAGCGGCAAGAAGAGGAAAAAACGGTAAGATTAAAGAGCCATGTGGAGTCATATCCCATGTCACACCGGAAACAATTCGTCATGTGTTCATATTTTAACGACCTGTCATTTCATCGTGTTTTTTTGTCCAAGCACACCTTTTCTAACAAATTCTCAGGTGCCGACATTGGTAGCGCATCTAAGAGAAAACTTTTGAACGGTTCAAAAATGCATTTTAGTCCTCATATATGCGTTTCAAACAACACAGAAAATTGCATTTATACGTATGGTTTCTTTCGGTCCATATTTTGCATAACAATCAAACTCGTTCACCAAATGGCGGAACAGACATGTTCGCAATCGGGAACCGTCGGCGGTTTCCGTAAAATTATTTTCTCGTGCCGACGGTTCCCGATAGACATGTTCTGTCATGAAGTATTAAACGGAAAAAAACCTTCCGGAATTTCCGTAACATTTTGAACCTACGTCATACAATTAGTAGTCTCCGATAATGTGAACAATATTCGAAAGTTTCCGATGCTATCGGCAATGTTCATAATTGGTTGTGTTGACGGTATACCACGGTGTTATGAAGCGAGAATAACTTCTCTTTGATTCAATATCTTAATTTCTTAGGAGAAAAAAAGTACCATGATTCGTTCGATCAAGACGAATCAATCCGATAAGATATATATATAAATATTCAAGGAATTATTCCATTAAAGATCTCTTGTCGTCACTGGTGTTCGACAAACTTCTTTTTTTAATCTTTTACCTTGTTATTTGTTCCCAGCTGCGGTCATGTTGAGACTGATGACGTCAATCGAAAACTATTCGGGAATTTCCGTAATTTTCCGTGTATTTTACCATTGCATAGATGACTGTCAAAGATTTTGTGAAATTCTAATTTTGTCAGAATAAAAACTATGTATCTATGTTTGTCATGGTGTGTCCTTGTCACATAAAATTTGAAAACTTATAATATCTTCACTGTAATGAAGGTATCAAAAATCTTCGACAGCGATTATGACGTTAAATCAAATGTCATGTTTCAACGTACACTTTACAGGGTCCGTTCTATGTCATAAATCAATCGGGAACCGTCGGCACTTTATGTGAACGAGAAAATATTTAAGTGCCGACGGTTCCCGATTGTGTCATAAATGTCACTATTTCTTATAAAATCATATAAAAAGTATGTCACAAATGCCTCTTATTTATGTGGTATTTTAACAGAAAACCATCGAATATCCTTTATGTATCGAGAGACTTAACGTTGAAGGAAAAATGATAAAAATGATCATGCTGCTAAAATACTTCCGGTTGTCATGTCATCATACATCATGATGTATCTAGTGATTTCCGGTTGTGTACACGGTGTTTCCATTGACCTTCGATTGTTTTAGTATAACTTTACATCATGCTGTATACATGTAGGTTGTTTTAACAGTGTATAACAGGTGGCTTATAATCTGATTGTGTATAAGTTGACTTCCTGTTATAGAAATTATAATAAACAGGTGCCTGATAACATCGGGTTACATCAAGTCACTTCCGGTTGTTAACAGGTGACTGATAGCATCATTGTTCAGCTTGTGACTTCCGGTTATAGAAAATATTAAGCATCTGATCACTGACTTCTGGTTGTTTACATGTAACTGATAACATCATGGTGCATCTAGTGACTTCCGGTGCTAGAAAATGTTCTACAGGTATCTGATATGACAATCTTGTGTCTTGTGACTCCATTCGTAGAAATGTTTAAAATTTGACTAATAACATCATGGTCGATCTTTTGACTTCCGATTGTAGAATATGTTAAACCATTGTCTGCAAAATCATTGCATATGTGATGACTTCTGTTTAAAAAAAGAAAGTTTAGCATGTGACTTATACTTTCATGGTATAGCAAGTGACTTCCGGTTGTTTTTAATGTTTGACAGGTTTTTGATAAAATCAGGGTTTATCAATTGCAAGTGACTTCCGTTTGATGACATCCGGTTGTTGTCACGTGTCTTATAACATCATGGTCTATACACTTGACTTCCTGTTATAGTGTATCTGAGTGTATAGCACCTGGTCGATAACACCACAGTATATCTTGGCCCCTAATATCACCGATGAGCCCTTGAAGGATGAAACAGCTGTTTGATGCAGTGTACTTCATTTTTGGCTTACCGTGTCTATTACATATGTGTTTAAACGTTCATCTTATAAGGAAACGTAAAAAAGTATTTTACCGGTCGTTGGAGACAGAAGTCATTACTTTTTATTCAATTGAAATATCACTTAAAAGTCGCGAATTAACAGATTCATCTTAAAACCTAAGTTTGATGTGATCCCAGACTGAAATTCGTAATATTGAATACTCATTTGTATTTTTGTATCTTAGAAATATTTTGCAAAATTTAAATTTAATTTAATGTTGTTTTTTTCTTTTTTTTTCTTTTTTCTTTAAATAATCATTAAAGCAGATAGGATTTTGTTCTTATTTGTGAATTTAGAATTTAAACTAAAATTCTACATTTTCAGCTGTGATATCATTCATTCACCAGATGATGCTTTCAAACTAAAATATGACCTGATTTTTTAGATGTTATTTTTAATATCGACTTAAAGTATATATATTGTTTTTTGTGTTCATCATATTTCTATCAGAATCAGTGCTTCGGAGGAATATCAAACCTCGATATAATGCCATTCATTATATCAATATACAGTCAAATCTCGATATTATGAATGCCATTGATTATCACTATGCAGTTAAGCCTCGATATAATGCCATTCATTTATCACTTTACAGCTAAACTTCAATATAAAGCCATTCATTTATTACTTTACAGCTGAACCTCGATATAATGCCATTCATTATCACTAAACAGTTAAACTTCGATAAAATGAATGCCATTGATTATCACTATGCAGTTAAACTTCGATATAATGCCATTCATTTATCTTTTTATAGTAAAACCTCGATATAATGTCATTCATTTATCATTAACAGTAAAACTCGATATAATGTAATTCATTTATCATTTTACAGTTAAACCTCGATATAATGACATTCATTTATCACTACACAATACAACCTTGATATAATGCGTATTGCTCCATTTGCCACATAACTTATCCTCAACGGTTTTCAGTGTTTCCCTTGTTCATTTTTTAATAATTAATTTATCCATCTCCCTCGCTATATTGCCAAACCAGTTTCTTTGTGAAACAGATAATGGTGGCAGTATAACGAAGTTTTACTGGTATAACAAAGTCCCTAATCAGGCAGTCATTATTGTATTGTTCTGTATATTGGTGTGGAGTAAAATAATGTAAAAAACCCGAAAGTAATAGTTTGTTCAATTCATTTTAATTCGTAACAATATTTTATTTACAGAGAAATACACGATATGGTACAAAGATGGTATAAATCACACATTCCTACACGTCCAGTTAAAATAGAGTCAGCACGTCACGAACTTGAAGTTTATCTGATTGTTAAACATTGGTCTAATCCTACACCCATCACTGAGCAGGTCAACCATCTTTACTGGACAGACACTCGTTGAATATGTAACCTGCAAATAAAAAACAGTATCAAAGAATTTAATATGGAAAACTACCAAATTTAAGCGCATTTTACTCTCGTAAAACCTCGTTATAATGTCCCGCGTTCCCCTTACTGTCAAGTTTTTCTATTATGTTTTTCTAAAATTTTATTTTTTACGAAATTCCTTAATACGTCTCCCTCAATGTATCGCCAAACCTCTATATAATGTCAAAAGTTTGTTGGAAAAATAGTGGCAGTGAATCGAGATTTGACTTTACGATATTTATTATCGTAAAGCAATGCCACTATATAACCCTACCACATTCAGATGGCATTCATATAGCCATGAATGAGTAACTTTGGAAACCACCGACCGTCTGATCACTGGAGAAGTTGTCGGTTTTTATTCATTGAAAACACATAACAAATATATAGTGAATCATTTTATTTTTTTGTGAGATTAACGAATTCCAAAACAGCTCGATATAGGTATTGAACTGCTTTCAGTTGGCATTCAAAAGAGACACAAAATGTTCAATAGCACATGCATGACAAGCGATTTTAATTAGGATAATTTGAAGTTTTGTTGGGAGCGTAGTATTATGTTAATCAAAATATCCCGGGATTATTATTCAAATTTTTTGAATTAGAGAGATCCACCAATAGCTCTTTCATAGGCCATTTCAAGAAGTCAAATCTTTGCTAAAGCGCCGTCGGAATGTACTTCGCGAAAAGAAGAGTTCGCAAAAACGTGCTTTAAATGATCCTATCGTTGACATGTATAGCGTTAATTCAATCCCAATATGCAAATTTGACACTCCGAATAGAAATGTTTCAACACAATCAAAAACTAACATAAAGTTTTATGTGATTTTCACTCTAGTCACAAAGGAAAGCGTCGCAAACGTAAAAGATTAGAAATTAGATACTATCGGTCGGATTTCCACAATAGTTAAGATCATGATGTACAGTAGTCAATATCACGCTAAGCTGTAGCAATGGTTATTACATAGATCTAGAGTAGACACGGTCACATTACAGGGTCAATTAAGGTCACGCTACCAGGTTGTCATGGTCACGGTACATAGTAATCAAGGTAACGCCAAGCTGCAGCCAAAGTCATTATATATTGCAGACAAGGTCAATCTACACGGCCATTAAGGTCACGCTATCAGGTACTTATGGTCAGGGTACATAGAAGTCAAGGTAACGCCAAGCTGCAGCCAAGTCATTATATATTGCATACAAGGTCACACTACCCGGTCATTAAGGTCACACTATCCGGTAGTCATGGTCACGCCAAAATGTAACCAAGGTCACGGTACATAGTAGTCAAAGTAACGCAATTAAATTTACCAGACAAGGTCACACCACACGGCTATTAAGGTCACGTTACCCGGTAGTCATGGTCACGCAACTCTTTCATCAATGTCACGCTGTATGGTTTTCAAGGTCACGATACACGAGAATCAAGATCACGCTATACGCGAGTCAAGGTCTTCCTACCCGGTAGTCATGGTCATTCTACATAGAAGTCAAGGTCACGTCAAACTGTTGCCATGGTCACACAACACTCTAATCAATTTCACGCTGTATGGTATTCAAGGTCACGATATACAGTCATCAAGGTCACACTACACGGTAGTCAATTTCACGTGGCACACTAGTCAAACTATCCTTAAAAGGTAGTCAAGGTCACGCGATACGAAAGTCAAGGTCATGCTATTCTGTAATCAAGAACACATTTTAAGGTTAATTCTGTCCATACTACGAAAAAAATCTTTCCATTTTATTTAGAATTGCCGCCAAAAAAATATTTTCCAATCTAAATGAACAGAAAATTTGCAGGGCCAACCGTGTTATCCTGGAAATGTTTTTGTTTCTGTTTCTGGGTCATTTTTTAAAAATGCATTTATTAAAATGGTTGGAGCGAAATTAATTTGTTTTTCAATGATAGATTTAATATGCGTTCGAAATTTAATTTAAAGTTTTGGATTTAAAAAAAAAAATTAAACCCGGATGTATTTGCACACGTCAAAATTGTGAATTTACACAAAAGAGGGATTGTAAACGTGACAAAAAATGCAAACAAGGTACCTTACACGAACTACAAAAAAGATTTTCCGATAATTTAAAACAGAAAATTAATCACAGAACCCCGAATGTTACGCTCCCCTTTTCTGCTTTATGACTGATTATAATTCATGGGTGACATTTCTTGCTGTGTCTGGTTGAATGGATAACGAAAAAACCGTATTAATTTTACATGTCGAGATCAAGCGGAAACGATAAGAGTTATTCCAAACGTCAAACGGGAACCGGTTGATTAAAAATCCGCACGATAGCGCGTTTTAATAATAGGCATCTCGGCCTAATCGGGAATGACAGCACGGGCTGTTGCTGGGCTTATGTTGGACTTCATAGCGAGGTTACACGCGGAATTTTCCGGAGATTTTATCCGTTTGAAACATTTTTAGATACAGTTAGGTTATTCATGAATGAATACTGCAGAATAATTCCAATAAATTCAACATTTGTCTTCAGAAATTAACCAGTTTCATAATGGCGGGTATCAGAATTTCTGTGGAAAAGGCCTTCTTTCAACTTGAATGGCGTGCAATTCTCACGCAATAAAAACACATTTATAAATTTTATTATGCAACCATTTAATATGACGTCATAACGGAAAAAATGCACATGGACAAGTCATTTGACGTCATAGCAAATGATTAAACGCAAAAGTACTCATTAGCAAAGTATATTACATCATATAGAAAAAATAAACGTCAGTAAAATACCTGATGTTATAGAAGATAATCAATCGCGAAAATGCACGCCAACAAGTCATATGACGTCATAGAGAATGATTAAACACGAAAACGACGACCACAATGCAGATGACGTCATAGAAAAGAAACAGTGCGACAACAAATTCCCCACTTCTCTCAAGTTAATTTGTTTTCTGATATGATACGTCATGAAATACAAACAATTAAACAATATTTATTGCAAAGTACGAATCATAAGAAGAAGAAAAACGAGACTAGGTTTCCGAATCTAAATGCGTATTCTACATCGAGTTTGGCACAAATCTATAGGTCTCCAGGAAAATGCAGGTTATTATGTCAAATTGTATAAAGACACGAGGTTAACCGAGTGTCTTTAAAAATTTAAAATTAACTTACGAGAGTTAGATAAACATGATAACCTACCATCACTCGTTAGGTGTCCTTTTCCGCCCATAATGTTTATATTTTATCTGGAAAGCCTATGTTTCACTTGCAATTTACACTATGTAGGCTTCCGATGGAAGGGAAACAATTGCCGTGAAACATGACGTCACAATGGAAGATGACGTCGCAAGGCATTGTTATGTGACGTCATAAGTAAAAAAGAATGACCAATGAAATCATGTCCAGAGTATGCTTACCAACTCCTAGCAGATTTATCAAATAAATCGTGAGTGAGGAAACCTATAGTGGTTGTGGGAGATATCTGTCCGCTTTGTATTAATGTCCGAGTCTTACCTCAGTCAGTGTTTTCATGGACGCTGATTGCATGTGTATCTGGTTTTGAAGAATCTGTCCGCCACGGTAGCCTTCATCCGATTTTCCATTTCAAATGGCAGGGTGTGGAACGGGCAGCGGCAGTACACCTAATACAAAGAACACAGGCATAGACAGAGATAACGACATGGACTTTCGTTTTCCATATGGATCGTACTAGACTTTCGTACATTTCGCTTGAAATATTCCTGACAATAATATATACATTTTGACTGGCGTTAGATAAACCTTCTTTAAGATACTTACGTGTCATTATATAAAGACATATGATATACTTTAGTAGCCATGAGAAATATTGATAACAATGACGAAAAGTATGACTTCAGTAGGCATGAGAAATATTGATAACAATGACGAAAAGATTGACTTGTTTGTGTCGATTACTAAGTACCATCTTCGGTCCCAGATGAAAATCGCACTTAAGCGACCGATGTTCACCTGGGATCGAGGATAACAAATTAAAAATAAATGCGAACATAAACCATTGTCAACTCGCCCTTAACACTAACAAGAATAATCATGTATGGCTTGCTATACTTGTTATGCCATGCTGTTATTTTCCAATAGCAACCAAAGTTCATGAGGGGATACTGGCAGCGATTCGGCATATTTACGAAACTCGCTCATATAATAAAGCAACGTTGGGTAACTCTCGGAAGGCTTTTCTGCTGGTTGAATAAACGGCGTTTGTTGCTATTCAATGACAAAAGTTTTGGTAATAATTTAATTTAAAAATGTACACGTGCAATATCCGTTGATGCAATTAGACCTACTACATTACTCAACCTACAGCTTATACACTGTCGAACTGCTCATAATTAAATTATCGATGGAAACAATTTCTGATAGTTCCTTTGAAGTATTGCCAGCTTTAGCAACTAAACTTACAGCAAAATAAGCTCGCCCACTGAAGTCTGACATCTTTTCCCTGGCAAGCTGGCCCTCTTCACACATCGGCAAATCCCTTACGCTACCGCAAAACACCTCTCTGGAAAGGAAATTATTTAACAATCCATCTTCAGCTGTTGTTCATATCAATTGTCTTTGTATTATACTATGTCTTTCAAACAATCAAAGGGATTGGGCACAAGGTCTGACAACTTACCAGGCCCTCTGCCGACAATACAACACATAGTACCTAAAGTTATAACACGTGATGACAAAAAGTGCAGTATACTACTACTTGACATAAAAACAGAAAGGAGAAAGGGAATGAGTGAGGGAAAGTGTGAAAGGAGAGGAAATGGTCTGGTTCCAATAGATGTCAACTAGTTGGATTATAAAAAGTTCTTTTTACACAAGCAATAAGATTTTCTATGTGACGGGATCAAAAAAACCCAAAGCGAAGCTGACTCGAGTCATTTCGGTACATATATAACAACTATTGTACATACGTTTACAGTGTTGCCGAATCGGCATAGATTTTGTGGACAACTCGTACACATTTTACACCTTTGTGTGCATACGCTTCACAGGTCATTTGTCTGATGAAGGTGAAAGTGTGTACAACCGTACCAGTCATCGAAACGTCACTTAGAAACTCTTATTGGTTGTGTGAAAAGGACTTTTCATAATCCATACTTACCAACCTGAAGAAAATGTTAAAAAATGTCAACTAGTTGGTTTCAGACCATTATATCGATAGTTTAATGTTCACGTGTTTTGTCAAGAAGCTTAATATTTCAGAGATGATAAAGCTTCTAGCTCCTAGTTCACTGGTCTCGTGAACACAACTACACTTAAAATATTTAACTATCTTCTATTGTGAGCAGGTATTGATTGTTACGTCATTGGTTTGTGTGAGAAAACTACGTCGTTTTCTCGAAAATTGATGACGTTACTCTCACTAACAAATGACGTAACAATCAAAACCTACTCACAAGAGAAGATAACTCTGCAATACGCAAAAATGGAATAAAAAAGGGAAAATTAAAATGATATTACTGAATTCAGTTTCCAGAGTTTTCCACGAACAAGAATAGTGAAAAAAGGCACTGCTTTTGTATATTCATGAAGTGGCAGTCAAAAGCGAGTGCACTTAATGACTTAAACTTTTCAAAAGCTACGATTTGAACAGAGCTCAGATATGATGTCTTTGTCGCACACTTTCAAATTATTTTACCAATTTTCAATGATTTACACCTAAAAAGACTTTTTTTTTTAACATTTGGGTTTCATCATACAAAATATCGGTTTTAGTTTGGATTTAACGCTACAAAGAGAAAAAACCAACGAGTTTTTACTTCCACTTATTTTTATGATTGAATTACGTTTATAGTTATGTTATTTTGATAATATTTTTGGATAAATATTATCATTTAATAAACCATTAATGTCACAAATAAGAAATACCACGAAGTTGAGAGTAAGGAGAATGATATGTGCCGTTTCGTTGTTTCGTTTTTATCCACGAAAAGACGAAATGGCGACAAATCATGTGCTAAAAAAGCACGCATATTATATCGACCTTTAAGGTTTTTTTCTTTTTTTTTCGAAGTAGAAAATAAAACCTCATCTTTTCGGTATTTCTTCGTTTCGCCTCAAAATGTACAAACTTCAACTCCCGTTTTCTCGTGTTTTCGTCCCGGGATTAAAAAACGAAACAACGAAAAGACGAGGTTTCTACCCAGAAAAACAAAAAAAAGCTCGCTGATAAGCGCCTTTTCGGGATGACAACGAGAATCAAGAGGTACTAATTCTCGTCTTTTCAGGGCGAAAAAACGAAATTGCACAAAAACAACCACCATACCCTCAACACCGTATCAGAGTGTAGAATGACATATACGATAAAGGAATGAAACGAATCTTCGTATGGTGACTTACATAAATATTCTGTTGATTTCATGAGACTTACAGTAAAAGGCCAAACGTAAGTGTTCAGAATCGATTTCTTAGACGATTCTATGTAGCTCAGAGGATTCTATTTAAATTAATAGTTCCTATCTGAATTACTGGACAGGAAGTGTACTGGGTCGATCGCCGGCGACCAGGTAGCTCAATTTGTTAGAGCGTAGAGTTTTTGAGGTCCCGGTTTCGAATCTCGATTTGGCCGCACATTTTCCCTCTCTTGTTACATATTTTATAACTGTTTTCTGTCTATCCTGTCTATCTATAAACAATGTACAATATAAGGCACTAGTTTTTTTTCTTTAACTCGTATATTTTTACAGTGAAACCTCGATAGAATGCCCTTCGGTCCATTTACCACCTCGCTTACCGCCAACATTTTTCAATGCCTCTTTTTTCTCATTTCTAAAAGAGTCTTATTCGTTTCCCTTAATTTATCTACAAACTTCTTTTAAAACGCAAAAAATTCTCTGGAAAATGGTGAATACATAACGAGGTTTTATGATATATGAATTACTGGTTTTATGTTCCTCATTGGTTTTAGGACACTCTCTTGTTTATATATGATGAACAGTTTTTTCTATACTTACTTTTTTAACATATAATACATATCAATTTCCCGTTTTTTTTGTTTTTTTGTTAGTTTTCCTCCATTTATCGCCAATCTTCTTTACGACGCCAACATTTCTCTGGACAAATGGTGGCAGTATAACGAGGTTTAAAATACATGTATATGCTTCTCTTTTCTACACTTACTGGTTTCTTTGTGACTGGAACACGGAATTATTGTCGTTTGGTGTCAGGTAAGGACACCCTCCCGCCACTAAGTCTTCACTTCCGGGCATGCCATCATCCACGTGACATCGGCAGTTAAGGATGCTGCGCACCTGGTACCCACGTGTTAATGAATTCGTCCTGAACACATTGGCACACACGGCGTTCTCCTGACATTCCGGTATGTCGTTTCTCTGAACAAGAGATGCAAGAACTATAAATAATATGCAGCCAATTATTATTATTAGAGCAAGCATTACACTTCACACTCAGGTCAAAAATGACACGTGAAAAATAATGATAAAAATAAATAAATCAATAATAAATTAAGAATAAATAAATCAATAAATAAAAACAATAAAAAATGTGTTTTATGTCAAGTTACCCCTGACATAAATAGTAAAAATCTAGCGAAATTTTGAATTTCTCAAGAATGCATGGTGTTCAAGATTCCAAATTTGATCGTGGAAAGAATTCTGAAAATAAATATGCGAATAATAAAATAATAATTTTCCGATTGCATTTTATATATGAAATATAATTATATATTAATGAAAATAATCATAAAGATTTTTTTTTATGAAAGAACATGTTTTAAGTGTTTGCCGATCATACAAATGTACCTTATATGGCTTGGGTACTGTCATCCTCGATATCCAGGGGCTACGCTCCCTTACGCTGTAGAGAGAGCGTAAGGGAGCGTAACCCCTGGATATTCAGTTTTGTGTTAAAGAAGAAAATCTTTGACATAAAGGATCAGAAAGTGAAATAACGTAAAGATCTTCACTTCTAGTATATTACGTGTATTTTTTTACCCAATGTGACGTCATAAGGAAAATACGATGACGTCACAATGTATGCCATTGACTAAATTGCTGGTGTATGTCTTTGATTTCTCTCTAGTCCAAATATTTTTGGAAAAAAGTTAAATTGAGTCGGCTTTGGACGCAATTCAATAAACATAGTAGTCCATATTTTCTATGAAACGTTATCGGCATCAATCTGCAAGCTTCAACCGGTGTCCGGATTAACAAAGAAAAATGATACAAAATAACAAAAATTATAAACATTTTTAGGAAGCAAATTTTAACGGAACGAAATTAGTAATGATGATTGGTGTCTCGAGGTTCCCTGATTTGTCTGCCTGTATGCGTATCTGTTTGGGACTTAACGTCTTAGCATCCTATGAAATATCACAGAAAGTCATGTTCTTTTTCCTTTTGTTGATTTGTTTATTCATTTGTTGTTTTAGGATACATTGGTTTAAATAGCTTACATTTGCGTTACAGATGTAGTGAATCGGACTCACTAAGCTTCGCCTAAGATATTGTCACTATGTAGAAACCAACAGCACGCGAAATGCATGCCAAGTAGTTTTAGTCTTAATTAACTGTAATCATATGTCACTCATTCAACATTATGGTTGTTTAATTTTACATCCATCATATTTTTGTAATCTCATTGTTCAGATAATTGCAGCCATTTCTATCATTTTGATAGAGTATTTGTTAATATTTTAGAAATGTAGAGGGACAGATTAACAAAATCACGAAAAAACGTCTAGCTGAAACGCAAAATAAACATGTTTATTTAATAGTAATGATCTTAGACTATCGTTTGAATTAATATTTTAAATGAATAAAGCTCTTTTGAAAGAAAACAAGAGATCGAATATCGATCAATCTTCAAAATCATAATTGAAGCTCAAAGACGGCGTAACTAGGAAAATGTGAAGAAAAATTACACAAAGACCCTTCAATAAGTACAAGGATAACAAGACCAGGTGTTCCGAAGAGTAAGCGTCTTCTACTTCACTGACCACATCGTCATGTTTATGAAGTCAAATACAAATAATGTCACGTTCTCAAACTTATAATCGTGGTAGTGACAAGACAACCATGACAATTTCACATAAGTATAATGAAACGTCGACATTCATATCCATGGATACCATGATGGCGACTGTATTAAAACATAGTATTCGTCACTTTGCATTATTGGAAACCGCGTTTTGTAGACTTGTTCGTCAGCATTTGATATTAATCACATGGAATCGTGAGATTTGGAGTAAAGTCTTGAATATCGTATTGAATTGTGGCGTATTTAACATAGAAGGTGGGGAAGTAGGAATGCTTCTATCAAGGAAGGGACGTTTAACGATCGGAATATCGAAATCGTCACGCTTATCTTACAGTTTAGTAGAAAGCTGTCCATGTTGGGTAAGTTTTTGGTAAAGATCAATACAAGAGGCTATTGTAGAAGAGTGAAATACTTTTTGTTATTTAAAGACAGTACATCGATATATGAAAATGTGAAATTAATTGACTTGGCAAGGTCTTTGTTACCAGTCCCTACACGCTTTTTGGTAAAGTCAGTCACATATTAATAATAATAAAAAAAACTCGACGAAGAGAACGGACACAATTTGTCCCCAGTATGACAACGCTATGCCTGAAAATACTGCCATCGAACTCAATAAAGCTATTGTCAATTAGGAACTCAATTTTTTTCCAAGTATATCTTATCTGTCTATTTTTTTCTCATTTACATATGAAGCCCGGTTGGCGTTTGCTATTGACGTCAGTAACCCCGACTGACCCTGACACGCTATGAATTTAATTATTAATGACGTCATAAACAGAAATATCTCTCAGGTAGGAAAACCATATTTCGAAGATTAAAGATGGTGGGATCTGCTGGTGGACTGTAAGTCCCCAAGGTAAGCCGTAACCTTTTACCTTGAATTTATTTTAACACGGTTTACATGAAATACTAGTTTAAGTTAAAAATTATCTGTTACAGCCAAAATTGTAAATTATTAACGTTTAAAGACCTTTAGGAAAAATTCCCTGTTGCTATTTTCTGCACATATATCGGGATACTCTCATTCTTTTAACTTTTAGTTACACTGATTTGTCTTGAATAATAACAATAATAATAATTCGAGGTTACTATATATGCTTTATCACAATCTAGTTCGTAGATAGTCTCAAAGCGATTTACAAATTATTATCCGTAATTATAGGGCCTATGCAACCAACCAATATCTTTCTCGACTCCCTGGGGAGCATACACAGCCAGTGCTGCCATTTCGGCGCTCACAGCTAGCATTCAACAATTCTAGCACTGCCCAACCACGTACTAATTTACAGCTGAGGAGACTGGAACAAGCGGAGTAAAGTTTCTTGCTCAAAGATACAACACAGTGCCGTGACGTGATTCGAACAGTCGAACAGTCAATGTATATACAGTACAGTACAAATGCTCACTTTGTTAGGCATCAATTAACTGAATTTTTAAAACAGGTACTTCTTCACTTCGCAATTAAGTAATATTATTCGTGTGGGGTTTATAAAAAAAATCAATATAGTGCTTTAATTCAAATTTTTAAGAATGGAATTTATTTTAATAATTATATGAAGTAATACTATTCCATTGAAACGGAAGGGTGTCTGAAGAATTAAACAAATGAAAGATAATTGAGTTTTACATTTTGATATAAATGCAGCAGATGCACGACCGCGATAACGACAACTCACGAAATCGACACAGAAGGAAGAAAGGAAAGGGAAGACAATACTGTTAAAAAATACATGTTTTAGTGGTAGACTTATTTTCGCGATTTTGGCTCTTTAATTATAACGCCAAATAATGAATCGTTCAATTGATGTTCTTGTATTTTGTTCTCTATTGTATATCTGTATGTGCGCCAATTCATATACGCGCCAATCTATTAAAATTCGAAAAAGCGATACAATTTGAGTGCGTTAAAATAAGTACGTTTGCAGAAATAAATTCATCGGATAACGGCACAGCAACTAGAGCGAAGAAAAAACACCAAAGACATCATGAATGGAGAAAGGAAGAAAGAAGAAGGGGAAAACTCAATAATAGGCGAAACCAGTCTTGCGTTTTCGTATCAAATCGCGGGATTTATAGGGAAGTAAGTCGATTTAAATGTGATAGATGCAGCTGCTAAGGATAATGAAGGCTAGGCAATTTCATTCAACGGCGCTAGTTTATTTCCATCAAAAAAAATGACACACTACGTCTCATGTTCTGCCTTAGGCAAAGATAGTTTTGATGTTGATTACCCGCAACTCATGACCTTTCGAATCCAAACACATCGAAACTGTCACATTGTCGCATTGTCGCAGCTTACAAAACATCCATAACTGTCCAATAGATTCATTTCCATCATAGCTTTGTTAGACAATTTTTATGTCTGTATGGAAAATTTGGAATTATTTCTTCAAGTCTCTATATATTGGTCCAAAATGTCAGCAAAAGATTTTTTTTATCTCTGATGAATTTTGTTGTAAACTACGTAGTTAGTGTGTTAGATACTAGGTACATCAAAACATAAAGTAATCTAGAACGCATGTCATGACGTCACAACATAAGGACACATTCTAAACTCAAAATCAGAGTCAACTTATTTTAGCTCCAACTCGAAATTCCAAACCAAAAATCAAAATCCAAGTGTTCCATATAAGTGACTTCTGCTTCATGAGAATAACAATGAAAACACCGACCTTCATGAAATGGAAAGATATCATAAACAGTGAAAAGAAATAAGAGGCAGAAACAGATGGTATTGTACGCAATGTCATTTGTCCATGTTAATTTTGAAAAAGAAAGTTATAAGGATACCTTTGTGGATATATAATGCAGTGTGTCCGAATCAATATTGTTTTTATATACGATTTAGAGTGAAAGATGGAAAGTTGAAACATTGGTGAACAAAAACACCATTCTGTCTGAATACGTTGTTCTATGAAACAGCGATCTGACATAGATCTCAATAACCGTACGATGCCTGATCAGAATAGTGTTAATAATACATGTGTATAAAGATATATTATTTAAAACTAGAAGTTCCAAAAAGAANCCCCCACACACACACACACACACACACAATATCATAAAAAAACCCAAAAAAACAACAAATGGTGTGTGGTTAGTTTCGTCATAGGTCAACGTAACAACAACATAATGTTGACCCATCAAACTAAAACAAACTGACTATTCTTTATGAATGAAATCAATGTACAAACTGCAAGCGTTAGAAATATAGCTCTAAGTTTTGAAATTCAATATTAATATAATCGGCAAATAATTTATTTTTTACTATTTCCAATTTTCAATGGAATCGTTATAAATCACAGACTGTTTTTGTTTGTTTGTATCATCT